TATCAGTACACATTATTGAATACTTATACACAAATTTATTTCATGTAGTAAGAAAGATTACAAAGAAACTGAAGAAGGCCAGTGGCCAAAACGTCTTAAAAAATGGTTTATTTACTACAATAACACAAATTTATTGACAACTGCAAATAGCAGTACAGTCAATTGTCATATTATTATAAACATAAAAAAGCAACAGCTCTATATGCACAAATGGATACAGGAATAATCTAAGTATGGTTGTAAAGAAATAATAAAGGATAGATAGCTATTTATTGTTAATCTAAGGTGTGTATCAAAGGGAAAATTAATGAATTTGAGCGATGAACTTTATCATACTTCTAAAGTTGATAGATATTTGTCTTAAGGCATTCAGTACCTGGGAGACAACTTTCCGTTTTATGAAAGGTCATTTTATGTTTATAAATAATTGAATTGTACTGTAATCTGTATGACAAATACAAGTATCTACTTACTTGTTACTTAGGACAGAAATACAGGTGCTGAAACAGTTTTTATTTTGTATATTATATAATAAGTAAATGGGATAAATATCCAAGCCAGGTCATTTTGGCAAAAGAAGGCAGCTACATAGCAAAACTGATCCAATGTGTATATGCCAATTTATTCTTTATACTACTTGATCAATATGTTGATTTTTATGCCCCACCTAGGGGCATTATGTTTTTCGGTCTATGTGTCCGTTCGTTCGTCTGTTTGTTCTTTCGTCCGTCTGTCTGTCCCTCTTCAGGTTAAAGTTTTTGGTTGAGGTAGTTTTTGATGAAGTTGAAGTCCAATCAACTTGAAACTTAGTACACATGTTCCCTATGATATGATCTTTCTAATTATAATGCCAAATTAGAGTTTTGACCCCAATTTCACGTTCCACTGAACATAGAAAATGATAGTGTGATTGGGGCATCCGTGTATTATGGACACATTCATGTTATAAATATTTTTATGGAAAAAGTATATTTTCAAATCATTTGATCATAAATTACTTTCTTGTGTAGAAATTCCAAAAGGGAACATACTTTAAATTATTTGTAGTGGACTAACCATTTTTCTATCATTTTGCCAAATGCCATTCGTTAACTCCCCAGACATATATCTCAGCTCCATGATATCAGTCACTTTTCACAAAATATACAAATCCATAATTAAAAAACATGAAGATGACAAAAACAAACTGATTTGCAATTCTTGAACTTAGATGGAATTTCTGCTCAGGAACAATGTTTTGGTATTTTACATTGATTTATTATGTAAATATTTTCAGTTTAAATCATATGTACCCTGCATGAATTCCAAATATTTCAAATAAGGTCAGCGCAACAATGGTTTTGTCTTGCCAAAACCAAGTCACAAAGTCTATTTTGACCATGAAACTTATGCACAGTTTACATGTTAGTTTATGATTAGGTCAGTTTAAGGGGAACTGCTAATGGTAAGTCAGTGATATTTGGTTGGTATACAGTTGTGAAAGCATCAGGCTACAGCAAATCTCATTTCCATGGAGATTATTAGACCCTGCACCCTCAGTCACCATTCATTGAATTTTAAACTTTTGCATAAATTACATATATTTTGAGTTTGTGATTAGGTCACATTCAGGGGAACCTCTAATGATGATGATAAGACAATATTATTTGGAATGCAGTTGTATTAGCACTGGCATATCTCATTTCCATGCAAATTGTTTGGTACCCTCAGTCATGGTGCCTTGTGTTTAAAAATTTTGCATAGTTTACCTCTTAACGTGATGTCATTTTAATAGCAACATTTGTAATATACTTTACTATCAGAATTGCAGACAAGCCAGACATATCTCTGTGTCCACAGTGTCAGTGTATGTAGAATGCAATCCAATCAAGAAGTAAGAAAAATGTTCCTATTATATTTGTGTGTAAAATATTTAGTTCCAGCAATATTATAGGTCCCCCAAGCAGCGTAAGGATATACATTCACCTCTTACTTATTGATTTAAGATTTATTATGTCAACGATCACATATCATAATATGATTAAAAGCTTTCCTTTTTACTTGGGCTTCAAACTTACAGCTCAAACTATTGATCTTTGTACACTTTATGCATTGATTTGATAAAAAGGTATTACAGAAGAAACATGATTGCAGGTTAACTGGTATAAGTAAGAATCATAAAATGTCTGGGAATAGGACAGATTCCGTCAGAATGGAAGGTCTATTAAAATAATCTTTTAATTTATAGACCAGATAATTGTCCTATGTCATCTAAATTGTACTTAAACAAATAAATGTGGTATGTTTTATCTGATACAGTTTTACTATTCTGAAGCAGGTTGCTGCAAAATATGCATTTGATCTGCCACAGGAAGAGACTATTAAATATTAAAAAATAGATTGAAATTGAGAAGGTCGGTGAAATACATAGGAACTTCAGATTTGTCCTTGATTGTTATAATTCTGTCAAGTATTTTGTGAATTAATTACTGTATAGCCTTTGGTGTAAATTCTACTTTGTGTAAGATTCTTTGTAAGAAGAATCCTGTCTATATATCTTTGTGATAGGTAAAATGACACTTTATATTACCTGCTAATTATAAAGGACTTGAATGAGAACTGTCATAAGAGAGGTACCATCTTCTCACCCTTTGTAATATGACTTATTGATTATTAATATTTCCATATGGACACTGCTTGATTATTTTACACCAAAATCTGATATTCATTTGCTTATTTTATTGAAAAATCAGAAAATTTCATTATAGGTTTCAAATTATTGATATATAGTTTTAATGTATGATTTATTAATTGGATACTGAACTGCTTTAGTTCACCATCTGCTGTGTATGATATGTAACATTTGCAATAATTTTATGCAGATATTTTTGTCTGGATGTTAATTTAAACTACAACTTTTGTAAATATACAAATATATGTTGATGTATTACATTTTTAATGTTTAAACTTTAATATAATGTGGGTACATTCTATTATGCTTCCTACGATATTTTATACTGGTGAATGAAATTATAAACTTATTGAAGGGTAGAAAATTAGTTCAGTGAGTTAAAGAAACTGGAAAAAACAAGGTGTAGGTTTTAAGAAAGCTGTGTAGAAAGCAAATAAAATATATTTCTTATATTAACTACGGCCAGCAAAAAGCAGTTTTTAATCAAAATGTTTTATTTTTAAGTTATAGCTTTAAGCAGTATGCACGGTTATATAGATCACATGGATGAAACACATTCCTTGCATATTCAGAGGGAGGATTCTATGGTTAAAAAACACTCCTATCTTTGGGTTTTATTATAAAAAAAAACCCAGATAAAATGGACTGGAACCCCTTGCTGCAAACCCCTTTTCAAGGTGGAACTCCCATAAAATCCACCTTGTGAAAATTTCATGTTTTTGATTAAAAAAAATGCATACCTCTCTGTTGGATACAGTGTACCGGTATTAAAATGATCTTATTTTACCTTAACATATGTTGATAACTTTTACAAGACACCTTGTAAAGTATTTGTCAAAAATGTTTTCCTCCTACTACATGTTAATACATCTGCCCAATGTCTGATACCAGCTAGTTACAGTTAAACTGTTTTTGTTAATTTCATAGTTAAGATGCTCAAGGTCGAGCTGAAAATATTACATGCATATTCAGGATAATAAAATGATAATGAATTTGAATCTTGTTTTGGTTTAGACTAACAGGCTGAGCTGGATTTTAATTGCTTGGTTACAGAAAAATAAGTCACCATACCTGGACACATTATTCTGACTCTGAGGCACAAATCTATGGTGTTACTCTTTAAATGCTGCATGCCAAGTGGGGAAGCAGCATATACCAATTTTAAGTCTTTGGTTTGAACTTTTTGGGGAAAGAATAATTTACCATCCACACTCAAGGGGAGCATACTTTCATGAGACCACAGAGGTTGTTATTCTTAACTGTGTGTTGATGCTAAATCTCTAGTCGGGGCCTTGATGGTCAAGTGGTCAAAGTAATTCATCTACAGCAATCACTAGCCAGTCTAGTCTTATGTTGTGAGTTCGAACCCCATGCGTGGCAGGTTGGTTGGACACCAATCTTAATTGTCTAGGATTGCCAGATTTCCTGCCGAAGGAAGGTTGTTCTCTTTGGACACTCAGGCTTCCTCAATCTTTAAAAACAGGCCACTATGATATAGCCAATAGTGCTGAAAGTGGTGTTAAACATCAACAATCAATCAATCAATAAATCTATGTTCTTTTGAATTCATTAACATTTGCATACACGTAAGGCAATTATTAGCATGGTAAATGCAGAGTTGTTGTCTATCATTGAGGACCATATATTGATCTGTTGATTTATTTTCGTTTTATTTTATTTTGTTTTTGGGTTGCTGTCTGAATAACATTTAACCCTTCACATCAAATCAAAGCTTTGTTTGACACACTTTAAGTATAAAAATGAAAAAACTAAAATATTTGCCAACTTTTTGCTTTATATCAATTTTCATAACTTGGGACATTTTAGTGCCCAACAAAAATGTTTGACAAAGAGATATGTATGTTACTTGTTAAGTTGTTATACCATGTGTATACTTCCAGTAATCTGTTAAATAAGGTTATATCAGCAGTTCAGATAACTAAACAAGGAAATCTAAATTGACACACCCAATTTCTTTGTTAGACAGGAGGAAATAATTTTTTTTTTCTTAAGAATGTTAAAATGATCACAAACGATTACATGTTGTACAGAATTCTGATTGTCGAGTATCTCTATGACATAGAATTTTTCTGCTCTATTAATTATAATGTTTGGTCATTGAAAGATTTGTTTGACTTTAATTTAAATATTATACCTCCAGCTTGTATTCCTTTTGTAAGGAGATACTGCAAGGTTATCTTCATTCTTTTCTGCTCAAATGCACATACATACGTTTCATTATACCTTGTCACAGGGTAAATGTTCGATAAACATAGGACAGGATATTATACGATAACTTTCAACTGGGATATTTTTATAATCTTTTCAGTGGGATGTACAGCAAAAGACAGAAGAAAACTTGATTGTTTAGGTTGAAGTTTTATATGAAGCAGGTAAGCGAGATATAAAAGTAAACGATGAATTGATATAAAATGAATATATAAACAGCCCACAGAAATAAACAATCTTACACTGTGCAGATTATGACTCATATTGCATACGTTTTCATAAAAGGTTGTAATCTAGATAGGTGTATTCCTTTAGTGGGTTTAGAAGAATTTTATGAATTATAAAGTAATGATTTTGCAATATATATGAAAATTATGGTCTACTCGTAGCATTAGAAGGAATAGATCTCTCTTAAGATATGCCCTTGTTACAATAAAATACAGAAGATTTTGGTATATTACTGAAATTCATCCAATATCAGTAGATCATTTGTTACATTATCCCGTATCAGTAGACAGATTTTGGTTTTCTTTACAGCATTTGCATCCAATGTAAGGTACACAGCGGGTCTTCTGTCCTCTTGGATTGTATAAAGGCAGAAAACAATCTAAACTGCAATTTTTGAGAAGGGTTAATAAATTCATTTGAAAAACTTTTCGTCTAAATGAAGAAAATGATGTTGTTTCTTTTACAATTTTTTGTTTGATTCAAATGCTTCTTTTCTGTTGAGCCAGATTTTTAATATGCTTGTTCACAAGGCAACGGTCAGCAGTAAGTACCCTGACACATTATTCTGACTCCCAGCTGGCAAGTCTTTGCTCTTACTTCTAAATGCTGCATCCATAGTAGAGAAACAGCAAATATCAATTTTCAAGTCTATGATTTTACCTAGCCATGGATCAAACCAGATACTTCTGCACTCAAGGCAAGCACAAGATCACAGACCGAGAGGCATATTTTCTTCAACTATGAGCAAAATCCTATTCAGTATTGCAGTTTGTCTAGTCACTTTAACTGATAAAATTAGGAAAGTATTCAAAAAGAATACAAATCAACAAACTAAACTGAGCAACAACAAAAAATTGTATTTTGAGACGTAAGAAGAATTTGATATTCTTGTACATTGAAAATTTAAACCACATAAAGATTTTAACGACAAAAATGTATATTATTATACAGACACTTTGTTCATATTTATGTTTTGGGGCAAATGCACAAGTTATAAAATGAACTCCTTTATTGATTTATATGCAAATGTAATGCTACATGTAAAATATGATTCCATGCAGAAAAATGAAATTGCAGTATATGCTACGAGATTAAAATGTAGTATTAATTTCATAACCTAAATCACCACAACACAATGAATCATGCTCCCAAAAGGGTGTTTTTCTTTGAAGTATTTGTCTATAATCTTAAGCTTTTCAAGAGAGAATAGGTGAAAAAGTGTTGGAAAAAGATAAAATCCTAACTTTACTTATTAGAGAACATTACATAAGCCTTATCTTACTAAATCTCACCTATCATTGCTGGTGGTCTATAATATTGATTTGGTAATTGACGACTACCTGTTCAGGTAAATCATTGTCTGTTTACCTCTTTAAATATTTAAAGTGTTACATACAATAATATTAACCACTTTGACTGGATTGTTCTAGGAGAGATGTAGGGAATATTTACTTTTCGTTAGCAGGTCTGTTGTCATTTTTAACCTGGGAAATTTTAATATATACTGTAATTTTTCGTTAAATCGTTCAATATTGAAGTGAAATTACCTAAACATGTGTGAAAATATTCAGAAAACCATTTTAATTTTACATACCTATTCTGTATTATTCTGTATTATGCCTATGTTTGATTTAAATGGATATACACAGTTAGCATATGATATGGACTCTATACGTAGCCTATGATTGAAAAACATTTGTGTTGTTTTGCTTTTGTGTGATTGTGTTGTTGGGTAACTGTTTGATTGATCTTTAACCCTTTAATCCTTTCATTCATAAAATTGCATTTAAAATAGCATTTCAGTTATCATGTGGGAAAACTATGTAAAAAAATAAACTTAATTTGTACTTTTTGGTCACCAGAAGCCATTTCCTGTCTGATAACAAGGGTGTTTCCACATTTAAAATATATATTTAACTTTAAATTTCAATTATAAGCAGTGATAGCCATAGTATTGTTGTTTTGAATAGCGTGACTGGGATAGTTTACTCAGGATATTTAAGGGTCAATGTGTTTAATTGATCAAAATGAAAGAGAACACACAGCCAATTTCCTTACATGAATAGCTATGGTAAACAGACTGGAAATAACTTCACTTTAATGGAAATAATATAAAACTAAATTCTGTATAGCACACATTACTGTGCTTAAAAAGTTAATGATACTTGTTTATTTTGGGATAAACTCGGTTTGGCCTAGTTACTTTAATTTTGAGTTACTATGAAACTAAATTTGAAGCTGGGTTTAAATAAGAATGGATTGTTTTTCATGGAATAAATACTTTTTAACGGCAAGATAATTTCAGCAAAACAGTTAAACCTTTTATAAATATAAGATCTGAATAGTTTAAGAAGAATTGAAGTGTCGACCTTATATATTATAGAATTAATTTAAAGTTATACTATTAATTCAATCATGACAAAATGATAGTATCATTTGAATCAATATTACATGTATCTTTTAAAATCACCAATAAAGGAAAATAACTAACAGTTGTGTGGGTTTTATATCCATAGTCCACCCACATAATTTGTCATAATATGCTCTGTTCAGTTATGTTTTGTCCTCTGATGTTTTAATTATGTAATAGAAACCAATGTTTATTGATGTGTAACAAGGTGTAAAGACACAGTGCATATTTTCTAACCTATTTGTCTTTTGGGAGCAGCCATGACCTCTCCAAACATTTGCTTTTTATTCCAGTATCTATATTAAAACATGTTTTACGTAGTTTTCAATCTTCATTAAATTGTATGCAAAAACTAATACATTCTTATATCTACTGAATATTTAAAAAAAATAAATTTAAATCCAGAGTATTATTTTAAAAAGTAAATAGAAGGTGATTAGTATTATTTAGATATAATTTTTGTCAGGTGTGGTATATTAACAGATTTATCATAGGGTGTAGGCCCTAGGAGATAGTCCACAGAGTAAGAATGTAATCTTAATGTTTTTGTCATTATGGTATGATAAACTGGATCAAAATCAAAGTCGGTCTGCATGTTACTACAGGTATTTGTGTATACTTTATTGTTTGTTTGTATACTGTTTGTATTAAATATTTATTAACAATTTTAAGCGTTCACGGTTTGGTACAAATATGAATTTATGTCACAGATATTAATTTTTATCATATATATGTAATAAATAGTTCTTAAAGTATGTTTTCAGCCTTATTTATGTAAAACCTTACAGATCTTTTCATTTTGTTTTTTACAAAGATAAATCTATCTTTATAAAACACCTGGCTGGTTTTATTAATAACAGGTCTTTGTACTTTAATGCATGTATATATTATTTTAATGTTTATTTCCTTAAAAAAGTAAGTGAGGCATGCTATTGTTTTAAATAGGTTAAGATATTCAGTAAAAAGTAGAAATCTTGTTACAGGCATCTAACCCTTGTTTTTACCGTTGCTTTCACTGAAGGGATAAATGAAACTTTTACATTCAGGAAAACAAGATCCCAAATTCTTTCACATATTATATGTGGTGAAAATTCATGATTTCAATTGGAATCCAACTGTTTCAATTACTTATAATTTATATTTCAAAGCATTTTAGGAAATTTTCATTTCAATTGCGTTTCCTTTTTTGACCAGACAGAATATAACAGATGTTGTTAACATGCCTTTCATCTATCATATAAATATCCTAAATTATGTAAATATCTCTCATTTATTGTGTAAATTATTGAATAATTCTGGTGCATATTGCATACATTAAACTGCTGAAAGTAAAATCAATTTTTATGTTGGGAGAAGATATGCATGGTTGATTTGTAAGTGGGATGGCTATATGGTTAATTTAGAATTGATAGTGAAAATCAGACGGGACTATAGTGTTGTGAGAATAGAGCTTTAACCAAGGAGGTTCAGATATCATGTAAGGCATTTCTTTATTGTTGTTTCTTTTCAAGTTTTGACTAATTTATAAGCAAAATGTTTTAGTTGATTTTTGATATAAATGTAAAATGATGCATTGTATATCTTATTTAGTTATTAACTAGATGATAGCAACTGCTAGGAGTTTGCTGCAAGATCCATCTTAACTTTTTTGTTCATTTTCTCTATTTTTTTCTCACAACTAAAAAAAATGTTAGTAGAAAAAGCAGAGATATATGTAAACACTACACAGTAGTATGCGGCAAAGAGAAAAGCTTAGTAGACAAAGCAGGTACTATCACAAGATTTGAATGCAACCGACCATAAACTTTCTATTGATTATTCATATTTTTATAGCATTTTACTGTATTCTAATATGTAGAGACCATATATCAACATTTCTGAAAACAGCAAAGGATCAAAAGACCTGTAGTGGTACATCTTTGTCTTTTGGTATTAAAATGGTGAAAAAAATAACACTTCCCACTGTTTTAAGTCATGAAAAATAGATAAACGTTTCCATGTTAGAAAGCTGAGACACAGTAATGACAGTCATTAAAGAAATTAGCATATTTGGAAAGTTGACAGTACACTATTGACAGTATAGAATTATAACTGTACATCTATTGGACAAATTCTTTCTGCTTTAACCCTATAATTATGTATAGAGAATTGAGGTATTAAATGAGACGGCAAAATTTTATGAGGACATTAATGCTATATTCCTCAGTAAACTTAAATAAAAGATAGGTGGGTTTAATTGTAAGCTATAGAAATAATTGTTACACTTCAGTTTTGCTCCAAGGCAAAAGATATTTACCTAGACTTCATTCATATTTTGGGATAGGGAACCATTTCCACATTAATCGCAAGAGTTTCTTTGATAAATTTACTGTCAGTAATTTACTTGTAAACTAACCAGTAGAAATTAATGATGCTTAACATATTAGGTTGTGTGAAGTTTCAAATTTATTTATCATCATGTAACAGACAATTTTTTGCGCAGCTTATTTAAGACTTCGTTTTAATTTTAGTATGTTTTGCTCTTTTTGCAATATGATTATACATGTATTATAACTAGAAAGACATCCATGTTTTTGTTTAAATAAATGATACAGGTGGATATCAAAGTTTGTTTAGGCATAGTTGAGAATTACTGAATTAGGTTAAGGCACCTTAATGCCGCCACAAAGAATGCTATCAGAATTGTTAATCAGCACAGGTCAACCCAAATCCTATTGGGTTCACCTTGGAAGGAAACATATGTTGTGTGAATTTACTTATAAGAAGGTGCAAACAAGCTACCTTAGATAAATCTAACAATGTCAAAGTATTTATCATGGGGACTTTTGTCAGAGTAGATGAAAAATGGAAGCTTTTTATTGGGTTAAACCACAAGTTTTGTCGGTCATCTTTTCGTGCAACTTGCAAAATTTTGCAGTAATAGATTAACATGTAGCTGTCCTGAGATAGATAACAAGATTATTCTTATTGTCATGTGGTATTACTATATGTCTGTAAGCACTAAGTTAATCACACTATGAACACATTTTCTCATGTCATCCTCAAAAATTCCTGATACAAAATAAGTGGAAAATATGATCAAACTTATTTTAAAAATGACAGTTGGAAAAGGAACATAATTTATAATTTTAGTTTATGTGACCTGGGATGTAATATAACTTAAGTTTCCAGATCACTGTAAGGTATTTTTGCTTTCAGACTCTTAAAAAATATTTCCCTTTGCATGAATTAACAAGGTTTTGTGGTCATCTTTCTTTTGTGTATGTGCTCTTAGGGAAATTAGGAAAATTTGATTTTTACATGTTGTTCAGGAATTTTCAGGATTTTTTTTTTTTTACAAAGACATGAAATTGGTCGTCTCTGCTATCTCAATCTATGGTCTTCTGTTTTCCAACTGTTCCTAACATAGAGTATTATGCGTGATTATATTCAAATGGTTATCATCTGGACTAGTTTCAGAATGAAATATTCATTCATGAATCGTTTATAAAATGTATTATGCTAAAGCAGCAGCCCATACTCCATCAATTGCAATTAAGTGGGTATTAGAAGAATACAGTATTTTTAAAATAGATGTCAAGTATATAGTATATGTTTTATTTTTATCTGAGTAACATTAACTTGTCTACCACAGATTACATTTGTGTGTTTTCATTTAAAAGTTTAATACAAATGTATAATTTTACCATAAATGGGTTTAAATTTATTCGTTCATTGTGTGTTGATTTGCGTTTTTTGATTGAGTTAAGCGTTCCAATTGATATTTTATAGTATGTCTTTCTACTTTGTAATGTTATACTATTGTTTCAGAAAAGAGAGAAGGTTTGGTACCATTAAAATGCTTAATCCCGCTGCAAATGTTTGCACCTGTCCCAAGTCAGGAATCTGATGTACAGTAGTTGTCGTCTGTTTATGTAGTTCATACGTGTTTCTCATTTCTCGTTTTTATATAGATTAGACCGCTAGTTTACCTGTTTGAATGGTTTTACACTAGTAATTTTTGGGGCCCTTTATAGCTTGCTGTTCGGTGAAGCCAAGGCTCCGTGTTGAAGGCCGTACCTTGACCTATAATGGTTTACTTTTTATACATTGTGACTTGGATGGAGAGTTGTCTCATTGGCACTCATACCACATCTTCCTATATCTATTAACTGTATTTGTATTTGCATCCACATAAAACCAAATAAAAAGCATGATCAGCACAGATTTTAAATGTCCAGTTTAACATTCTTATACTTGTCAAGTTGTCAAGTTCTTAATAATGGAAAGATGAAGATAAGTGACTAGTGATTGCCTGTAGCCAGGTTAGGTGTGTCCCTACATGTATATTGACAGACAGGTGTTTTGTGACAGGTAGATGATATAGGTATAGGTGATACATATATTTATCATAGGTATATCTTATAAGTAAATAGTTAATATTCAATAATATGTAATTACTATCTATTATATGTCATGTGATAACAAATGTCATGTTGTTTGTCAACAAATCATTGTACAGTGACATCATATTTGCTATTGAACTGATGACTCTATTGTAACACTTGTGTATATTGGTTTATGAATGATTTGTGTAAACTAATAACTGTATTGTAACACGTATGTATATTGGAAGATGAATAGTTTGTGTATTAAAAGATTGATTTTCATTTCCCCAGGTAAGCATTTTTATATTGCAACAAGGGTGAATGGAATCTTCAGCATTTTCCCTTACCTTTTGCAATCAATTTTCCATAAGGTTCTTAGTAGACCGACAGTATATGTTAATTGAATACTTACTTTAGTTTGGAAATTGTGTAAGGGGATATGTAATCAGCTGTTTTGGGGACAAATCTGTATAGATTTTTGTGAAATATGTTCATTTTAACAATTCAGTAAAAATTGAAGTTATTGTGATCGTGAAGGACTTAATGATAACGAGAATATGTTGCGAATATTCTATGTTTCTCATTAGTTTTAACTAAAGATAAACACTTTACTTCTATTCTCTCATATCAAAGTAGACTAGTGTGAGCTGATGGAAAACATTTGTGATCATCACTTTTCTCATGACAAGGATAATTAACATGTGTTGGTTTAAAAAAAATAATTTTCTTTGTTTTTTATTTTAGTAATGGCTATTGGTTTTTGGTGATATATTAAGAATTTTTTTAGTTTTGAACAGAGTGAACTCATCAATTGGAGTCGGTGTAGTCTGGTTGTCTGTCTGTTAATTTTATACACTCTAAATACTTAAATTAATGTATATCTTAAGAGATTGCAATTCAAAGCATCATGCTTAGCTGTGATTGTCATAAAGTGTTCATCTAATTGCATATAATTCCTAAATGATAAAAAAATCATATTTCTCAAGTTTTATAGAAGAAGTGTAACAGTGTAGGGATGTTCAACTTCAGAAGGAATATCTCCCATACATTTTCTATAATATAAATATTAGATTATAAATAGCCATTACCAATTGATTGTTCTTAAGAATACCCAAGGGTATAAAGATGTAATCATAGTTTTTTCAGCTAATATTGTTTTTAATATGACTTTGTCTAGCCATGACTTATTAGATTATAGATAGAGACAAACTTCTCATAAGGTAGATAAATGATATGTTAGGAAACATGCCCAGAGTTTGGTGATGTTTATTATGATATTAGCTTATTAAAAGGTTGACTGTTTCATAGTAAGTTTGCCGATGTAGAAAACATGTCTTTGTTTAGTTATAGTTTACTGCCCTATCCATTGACCTTGACTCTTATTATTGATTATAGTTATTTTAAGGGAAATTAAAAAGGAGTGTATTATTAAAATGCTTCGTTTACTTAAGGTAAGGTATTTTTCAATTTATTTGTTACAGCTTTTTTAATTTAAAAATCTATAAATGTGAATGATGGCTTTTTAAATTTATAAAATTTTTTATCATTATTTTACCAATAAAGTTGTCCCTTGAATTTACAAAAAAAAAATATATATTTTTATTATTCCAATCAAGGGCCCTTGATGGGCAGCATAACATGTACACATAAAACAATACATCATGATTTGTAAGTTTTTTTATATTTGTATATATATATATATATATATACACAACAACGAGCCAATTGATTATTGCAGATATTAATATTTTATATTTTTCAGCAATGATATAGATTTTTTAATGATATTTTTTCATATTTTCCATTTTTTGATCACAGTGTAATTACCTTCGCTATTTTTATATATATTCTGTTAGACAATTGACGCCTTCAAACGATCACTTAGCAAGTCCCTTTGAACTTGATCAAGGCAGTAATTTCATTGAGAAAATATATCGATCCTAAGCTACTCTCTTAGTACCATTGTAATAATGTTAGGTTGTCTGAAATCAACATCTTATACATTTGTATTTCCATTTACATAGGAAAATTTAAGTTTACATAGACCACTTCGTTAATCAAGCAGATTATTTTAAGAAAAGTGAGAAAGTTTTAACGACTTCTGCTAATGATACAGATGCATGCATGCTTATTTTCATAAGTTTTGGAACATTTATCATGTTTATATTTATAATATAATCATTTTCTGCCAATGTTATAATGTATAATTGAATACATTTGTAGTATGTTAATGAAGAAATTGTGTAATGTAATTATTGGTGTGTATGGAGTATTAAATAGTTTTTATGTCTTACAAAGTAAATATTGTGGTACATTAGTGTTAAGATACTTGTATAACGTATACTTTGGCATATATGACTTCAAACTGTTTTTCTTTTTATATTTATGGGACATTGAGAGGAACCAGTGTGCGTACTTAATATGCCTGATAATAATTGTATGTATTTTCTAGCTACAACTAAGTGAAAGTTTTTCTTGTTTTACAGGTATGACATAAGAACATTGAAAAAAGGGAAAACAAAGGCTATACCATGGGTGATAGAGCTTTAATAGTGAATGCACCCCCTCATCATTCACCTGTGAACACCATGAACTTTGGAAGTACAAGTTGGTCACCTGGAAATACCATGAGTGCTAGCTACGGTTCAGTGAGCCGATCTCCTGGTAACACCATGAGTTCTAGTGCTAATTTTAAGTCCATGAACATGCAGGGCGAAAACGGAAGCTTTAGTGCAATGGAACAGCAAATGTACCAAGCCGAATCCAAGTCAGAGTTCTCCACCATGTCAACAGAAGGTGGTGGAACAACATACCATTCTCAAAGCCTCAACAGGTTTCCTCAAAATGCTACAGCAGAGATTAGGCAACTAGATTCCAATCAAAATCATTTACCGAAAATGAGTTCCGTGGATACTCAGTCATTGAGGAGAATAAAATCTGAGACTACAATGGTAAATGATACAACTGTGGAGGACAGTGGAGGAAGAACAACGGTCCACATTACTGGACCACCTCAGTCTATGATAGTGTCAGAATGTGCTGTGGCAGAAATGAAGGGTAGTGGAACACAAAGTATGACCTCAGAAGTAAAGAGGAGAGGTAAGAATATAATTTAATAAAGCAACAAGTAGTTGTATTATGGATATGTTATTGTCATATAAAAAAAGAAGGTGTGGTATGATTGGCAATGAGACAACTATCCACCAGAAACCAAAGGAGAAAGATATAAACAATTATTGGGCTCTATATAGCCTTCAACAATAAGCAAAATTAATACCATTTAATAAGCTATAAAAGGCCCTAAAATGACATAGTGTGAAACAGTTCCAAAGAAAAAACCAAAGACTGATTTATAACGATAACATTACAGCATTCCAATGCCCCCGTTGGTGCACATATTTGATTTGTCCAATGGCAATAACCCCAAAATATTTTTTGGATTCTTTTAAAACTTTTTCATAAATATCCTTGAAGAATGCAATTTTCTGTAAAATTTATATTTCCATTCGGCACATTCTTCTGCAAAAATTGTTGAAGTGCTGAATATTGAACTAATCTAAGACCTTGCTGATATAACCCTTTGATATAAGTTTAATATAAATCTGACAAGGAATGTAGTAGTAAGAGTGCTTGCAATGCAATTTTCAATATCAATTGCATTCCAAAGGGATATAACTCCTGTAAAAATAAGTGATCGATGCTGAATATTGAACTCATCCATGACATTGTATTATAAGATCCTACCAACAGTGAAAGGAAATCACTAGAGATTTGGTTAAATTGGATTGTTAGTTCACTGAATGTCAAATCAACACAGCTGCTTACAGATTTTCATATGTTGGGTAAAACTTTCTTTCCATGGGCAGAAAAGAAATTGAAATTGTAATCCTTTGATGTGAATTTCACACAAATCTGGCAAGAATGGTAGGTGGGAAAGTGCTTACAAATCAATTTGCAATATAAATTCAAAAAGACAGAATTCCTGAAAAAATAGATGATAGGCCAAAATAAAAATTATAAATTTCTTTATCACACATCTTTATGTCTGCTAAAAAATCCTCAGACTTAAAAATTACATGGCGTTGTCTGTTACAGTTTTGACGTGAATATAAAGATTTCTAAAATATATTTCAAGGACAATTCTTGTAAATTTTCAAAAATCCTCATATTTCTGTGCATATATATATATATATACAGTTTGAAAAATTAACCAACTGTTTTCAATTTTTTTTTTTTAAATCTTAAGCTTGTAATATTAACAGAAGTATTCAGTAGAGGCAGATAAAAATAGAAAAGGGCACCTGTTTTAAAATATTTGCCATTGCATTCTGAAATTTTTTAATTCAAAATAGCATGACAATGATATTACAACAAACAGCCCAATTGGATGACAGCTAAGATATTTATTTATTCAATCTGTTTCAGTTGAGGTTTGCAAACATCACTATTGTCTGAGGTGTGCAAACATGATTTTTGTCTGAGGTTTGCAAATATCAAATATCACTATTGTTTTCTTAAGAAGTTACAGGCTCTGCTGTTAGTTATCACTGAAATTAATGCAGTACCATTTTATGTAGGAATTCGTAATGTTTGTTGTACATTTGTATTTACTCCTTTTTTTAATACCTTCATCATGTTCATGATAAAAGCTTTCTTCAGAAAATTTATTTTTATAAATTTGTATTTAAAATATTATTTCAATTCCATGTTATTCCAAGTTAAATTGAAAAATTAGATTAATTAAAAATAAACTACTGCATTTAAAACATAAATAACGCTTCTATAATGCTGATCTCAGCAGAATGCTTTTGTCTCCAGAGGAATTTTCTGGTGTCAGAAGTATGAATGAATCCCTACAAAAACTGTAATGAACGTGACATCTGTATTGATTCTACCAGCAGTGAAAGGAAATCACTAGAGATTTGGTTAAATTGGATTGTTAGTTCACTGAATGTCAAATCAACACAGTTGCTTACAGGTTTTCATATGTTGGATAAAACTTTCTTTCCATAGGCAGAAAAGAAGTTGAAATTGATTGCATAATTTCATTTCCTATTGTTTGACAGTAGAGATTTGTGAAGGAGTGAGGGGCTAAGACATTTATTAACACAGCTGACAGTTGTTATTATTTTCTTATGTTAAACCTTATTGATTACATGGCTATTTTGACATTATTATTTATCATTGGACATATTTAGGTGCAGATATATGTCAGAACACACTATGTTTAATACCATAATCACATAATAGTAATTTGATACAAAGAAAATAGTGATAAGTTATACTTTTAGAATTATTTCGCTGATTGAAAACATTATTGTATTCTGTCAATCTGTCTCGTTAGTCTTATGTGATATTTTGCAGTAATTCTTAGAGATATATATTTATTAAAAGACAGTGTTGAAAATAAATATAAAATTAAAATACATGTGTCTGTTATTTTTACAGGTACTGAACAGATTACAACAACATCTGAACAGAAAACAACATTGTCAGAAGGTGGGCAGTGTACATGTTGTCCCTATGGCTACCACATTGATCTTGGTTTTGTGCAATATTGTGAAAATATGTCTGATGGAGCTTATTTGAAAAAGTTGAAAAGAATCCAGCGAGAAAAGAGAAAATTACGCAAATCCATGGAAGTTTTTCTACATCAGCAAGAAGAGGCAAAAACAACTCAGGAATATTATACTCAGCCGGAAACCGTAAGTGTACAAGCTACTGCTTTCTTAAAAGATGTTGAGCGACAGAATAATGTAACAAACAAAGTTTTAGATGAAATAGATTCATCTGTTGACCATACCTTACATTCAATAGACTCTATGATGTATACCGCAAAAACTTCGAGGATGTTCTCTGAGAGTGATGAGACATCAGCATCCTCAAGTCCAGGAACAACAGTAAAATTTAATACATTCCCAATGAAACGAGGGAAAGACATTCAGGAAGATATTGCAATATATAACAATAGTTTTGAGAGGAGTGGTAGAACAGATTCTCAGAGTTCATTATCATCTATTTCTACTGTAGCTAGTGAACGTTCTTCTCCCTATACACCATACAACTACACTACAACATCAACTAGTGTCACCAGTGAAACTATCTCTAAAATTACCCATATTACATCTGATCAGCTGGCAGCTACCATGGCAACACATTTACCAACAGAAGATGGTGCTGCATCTCCTCAGTCATCCACTACTACCATAAACAAAAATTCCCTCACTGCCATTCGTGAGGCAATGGCCGTAAGTTTGCAGCGATTGAAAGAATTAGAGGAGCAAGTTAAAGCTTTACCTGTGTTACAAGTCAGAATCTCAGTGCTTAAAGAAGAAAAACGTCTCTTGGCACTTCAACAAAAAGCCAAGGAGGTTAGAAATACAAGAACAATTGGCGTAGGTGATAATAATGTAAATGAAGTGCCATCTCCTACTACTCCATATAGGTTTGACTTCAGAGTGAAATCTCCACCAGTGGCTCCAAAACCAAAAGTACGATTGGTTGGTGTTGGCGATCACAGTGTGATTGAACCATATTTACTTCAACCAGACTTGCCAGCAGGTTATACAATAAGAGACAATGAAACATCAACAGACAGTCAGTTCTACCAACGTGATACATATGTTATAGAGAGAGATAGGACACAGTCGGCACTTTACTCACCGTTCAGTAAAACACCAAAACCACAAACAAGAACCATAGGGATCGGTGAAGGAAATGTCTTTGATGAATCAAGCATGAGAATACACGAAAAGGAATTAAGAACAGTTATTATTGGACAGAATCAAGGTGTTGGCAAAAGAAATGTGGGTGTTGACTGTAGAGTTGCCACCAGAGATGTTGGTATGATGTACTCTGCTGATGATGAAAAACCATCAACAAGAACTGTAGGTGTAAATGTTGATACCGGTGCTTTTATGAATTCCTTAAACTTCAAAGCTGAGGAAATGAGATCTGCCTTGAAAGAAGTGTTGTCAAAAAGTGTCAGAAGTATAGGAACATCATGTGAAATGCATGTTGAGAAACGAAGTACAGGGGTACAATATTCAAGTTCATTTACACGATCTATTGGTGTGGGAGATGATCACATTGACATTATCATTAAACAGCCAGTACACATGAAATCAATAGGAATTGATGTTTGTCCACTTTCAATTAATAAATCTGTCAATACAGATTATGGCTGGAAACTGGACCAAAGCACTAACACCATGCAATTGTTCATGGAGAATAAGTCATGTGCAACTGAGCGTGCTCGTCAGGGAACTGTGAGCACTATGACCGATGATAATAGAATGGTTTCTGATAAAACACAAACTGATCTGAAAGTGTTCTATGCCCTTGATGTGGTAAAAAACCAGGGTACCAATCCACGTAAACAACATCTGAAAAATACTGCAATGAATACTGAAGTGAGAGAATTAGTAGATGAAGATTTTAACCTACGTGTGACATACAAATATAGAGGATTAAATGCCTTTGATGTGGCCACAAACACTGAGGCTGCTAGAAGACATGATATTTCTGTTAATACTGACAAGAAAAAGCTTCGAGATGTAGCTGTTAGTGAAGATACTGTTGATTCTTTTGTCTGTAACTTTGAGGAGGAAGTACAAGAAAGAATGGAAGAAGAAACAGTCGAAGAAGTAATCTATCGAGAACAGGATGAAATCATTGAAAAAGAATGGACGGAGAAAACAAGGAAGAGAACTGTTGAAGAGGTTGAGGGACCAGTAGAAGAGAGTTCAGTAAAAACAATTATGGTCAGAGACGTTCCAACAGCAACGCAAGTTGTCAGACAAATTGTTGCTCCTACTGGTAAAGTTATTATAAGTAGTCCAGGCAAGAAAACTGGTGATGATGATATGGTAGAGAAAAAAATTACAAGTAAAGGAGGTTCTTATACATTACAAACAATAACAAGAAAATCAGTCAGTGATGATGAGGATGAGGAAAATGCTGGTCAAACAACTACGACTATTTCTACTACTGGTAGTGGCTTACGGTCTGGTGGTGATAGTTCAGAAGGCAGAGAGGTCACTTCATCCTCTCTCAGTAAGCAGAAACTTGTGGATGATACTGAATTTCATAGTAATGTCAAGAGTACACATGATCGAGCCTTAAGGTTAAAAGCTAAGATGGATAAATTACATGGTGATACTGACACAACATCATCAAAAACAACAGTTCATAGTTCAAGTGGAGGATACCTTGATTATCTGGATTCTAAAAAAAAATCAGGTGATAGATTTGGCTCTGGTGAATATTTAGTGACTTCATCAAATAGAACTCATGGATTGGGTTCTGATGAGAATTTAAATGATTCTGGATCGTCTTTTACATCATCTACAACATCATACAGAACTAATGGTGGAGGATCGGGAACATCTGATGGAGGATATAAAATAATTTCTGCCTCCTCCAGTAAAGTTGCCAGCATTGGGTCAGATGGCCAATCCGGAGGTGGAAGTAAGATGATTTCATCAAGCTCGTCACGAAGTAGTGGTTCAGATGTCCAGTCTGGAGGTGGATCTATAATGATTTCAGCAAACTCATCACAAGGTAGTGGGTCAGATGGCCATTCAGGAGGTGGATACAAAACAATTACAGCAAGCTCTTCAAGAAGTAGTGGGTCAGATGGGCAGTCAGGAGGTGGTTACAAAACAATTACATCAAGCTCTTCAAGAAGTAGCGGGTCAGATGGGCAGTCCGGAGGTGGATACAAAATGATTTCATCAAGCTCTTCGCGAAGTAGTGGGTCAGATGGCCAGTCAGGAGGTGGATACAAGATGGTTTCATCCAGCTCCTCGGGTGGTAGTGGAATTTTGGGGTCAGATGATAAGTCTGGTAGTGGATACAAAATAATAAAAGCATCGTCTAGCTCCTCTCGTGGAAGTGGGTTGTCAGGGTCAGATGAACATTTAGGTACTTCGCTGTCATCATCCCAGACCAGTGAATCATCATCGGATCAAGGATTAGGTACATCATCTAGTTCTGATGAAGTGACCACCATTACTCAGATTTATACTCTAGAGGATTATTATGGTGGAGGAAAAAGTTACTATGAGAAATATGTCAAGTCTAAGGATGGAGGTGTCAAGGTTTTAGAAAGGAGGCCTACTGGAGAAAGTTCTGATAACATTGATTCTAGCTCTTTAAAATCTTGTATCAAAACCACGAAATCTGAGAAAAAAGCAAAAAAAGGAATACGCTTTGCTGAAAATGTGGTTGGAGGGTAAGTTTTTTAATACATCATACAATATTGATTTAATAGAAATTATAAAAGGATAAAATCTATAGGACAAAGTTATTTTAAATCCTAGTAAACCAAACTCACTTCTTACAAAACATTGCTGAGTTCTGACTATTCAGTATGTTTTCTATATGAATTACTGAAATAAATATGTAAAAAGTATTAAACAAAGTGAGAAATTTAATCCAGAAGACCAGTATACATGGTATATGTACAAAAAACTGTAGTGGGGAAAATTGATCAATCAAAATTAGAAGAAAATAACTGAAAAGCAAGTGTATCTTACTTAATGATGTACATGATGTATGCATTTTGAAAGGAAAAAGGATTTAATTATCCTTCAACCTAATTTTGCAGTACGAAACCTTCCCCATTATTTTTGACATTTATACAGTAGCTCATTACTTATTTTAAAAACTGCTAAAAACAATTGCATTAAGAATCACTAAAAACTTTTGACAGTCAGTCGTATAAATATATAAATCATTCGTTAAAAGGATTTCAAGAAGAAATGAATTCAGAAAATATATCATACATGCATACACATCATTTGCACATTATGTAAGAGAAATATTTAAAGTGTTTTTTGAATAAGTTTATATACTACTGCAAGGTGAACCAAATATGTTATTGTAAAATGTCATTAAATTACATGCACTTTATAAAACAGTATAGCTGTAGTAAAAAATGCTTAAACTGAACTATGCATTGACTGAAATCTTATGTAACCAAACTTAATCTGTAGTCCACTGTTTTTAAATTCAGTTGAAATTAGACCTACTGGTATCTAATCAGGACACCTATATAATCAAAACAAAATTTTCTGTTCAAGTGTGGTTTCACTGTATCTAGCTGATACTATAATGCATAAGTTGACACACAGTATGAAAGTTTCACTGTATCTGATTGATACTACCTTCTAAGGAAGGCACAATGTATAAAAGAATTGTAACATTTGATCAAGTAGTAAATAAAGTCACTCAGGTGTGTTTGATTAGACAAGTTATCATTAAAATCTTTTGACATTATCTTGTTATGTAACTGAACAATAAAACAAACACTACATTATGCTTTGTACAAACAGATATGACTTATAAATCTCTGTGTTTATAACTTAATTACAATTTCAGACAGACATAGAACTGTAGTCTATATAAACTAAATTTGCACAGGTTGAACTTATGTTACAGACTTCATGTCAGAATTAAGGGTTGAATTTAGGGGGGACAAGTGTGATCCCCTTCTAAATCACAGGTTTCAAGTCATTCAAGAGAGAGAGAGAGAGAGAGAGGGAAAGAAAATAACAGTGAGTGAATCACAAAAAAAAAAACCATATAAACCAACAATCTTTCAATATTTACTTTGGTGGGAAATACAATGAAGATGTTTCAATATACCAGTATATACCATATGTCTTTCAGTAAATTAAACTGACTGCCGTTAAATTAAATTCTTCAAGTGTATATACAAATATTTTTTAAACTGTTAACTAATAAGCAAATAAGAAAATATTTCTGTAGAAATCCTACAGTGCTGAATATATTGCAGGTATACATCTAGTAGTACAGATTCTGATGATGAGGATGGATCAGACAGTGGCTCCACTGCTAGTTATGATGAGGGGTCGTATGATGGCAGAGAGGGTAGTATAGTATACCAATGTAAAGATGATGAAGCTATTGCTAAAGGAATTCCTGGAGCCCAGATGTTTGACCAGAATATCCGGGAAACGTAAGAATTATCTCAATGTTCTATTTTCTGCCTGTGTTTATGCTGCTATGGTACAATGGTTGTCTCATTGGCAATCAGATCTCCTTATTTTTATATCAATCATACATTATCTACTTCAACAACAATAGTTAGAATTTTTAACAACCTTTAATTTATCATTGTGATCTTGCATGTTTCGGAAAAGGGAGGTTCAAATTTAGATATTATACTCAGTTTGTTTTAATAATTACTTATTAGATCAAAAAGATTATGTCTTCTTAAGTTCTTTATATCTTCTAATGTATCAATTTGCCACTTTAAAACAGGAACCACACCATATATGAAAGGATTATCTCCTATTGAGGAAATGAGAATTATATACTTATTTCAACCCATCATTAAATCTCTGTTATGGAAATTCCATAGCATTCTTATACTTAAGGCCTCTAAATAGACCTGTCATTGTTGCATGTCTGTGATTATATGTTATATGGAAATATGTTGGAAAGAAACTCACATTATATAAAAAGAAAAATCTCTTGTGTACTGCTATTTTTCTGAACATTAGTGTAATTTCTTCTTAATGTATAAAATAATCTAGATTAAAAGATCCTCAAGCCTTCACATGAATTGAGTTCTTTGACTTTCATTGATAACAACTGAAAATAAATTTTGTTTTCTGTTAGAGCAGAAATAGAGATATTTTACACTTTCAACTCTCTTTTCAACTTATGAGTTTTGAATTCCCCCTTGGTATCTATTGCCTCTATTTCCCCCTCAAAATGTTCTATATTTCAAATATATTTCATTTCCTGTGAAGGATTCCATATATTTGATCTCTTTGCCAAAAGACTCCCAGGGCAGAATATGTGTTGCAGACACTGAATATAAATGTTAAGGTATGCATTAGCCTGGGATATTGGCCCAAAACTACCCAACATTGTCAGGGCCAGGTGTGAAAGGATTCCATTGACTAAATGTAAGGCTAGGCTAATCAGATCTTAATATACATGATCATATATAAAACATTAAAAATGATATTCTTTGATAAGAAAAAAAACCCAAATTTAATAGAAAGGTAGTTGTTGACAGCAAGTATTTTACAGGTTACACCTGTGTTAAAAAAGTAGTTAAGTGTAGTATAACCATAATTGAAAGTTTTGTCACATACAAACAAACGTAAAACTGTAATTTAAGAAATAAAGGACCATCCATTTCAAATATGGTGGATCAAATTTGCCTACATAAATATCATCAAAATTCTTGCTGTACATGACTCTCTTGAAACAGTATACATGTAATGTGATATTTTTTATTGAATTGTAGAAATTATTTAATTTGACATTTATATTCATTTTTCAGTTTCGAACTTAGTAGAGGGATGAGAAGTTCATGTGAAACTTTATCCAAGTATTTGGAAGACTCTACAGAGGTTCAAACTAAAGAGCTAGTAAGTTCTGTAGTAATTAATTACACCTACAGTGTTTTTAAGTGTGTACTTTGTCTCTGGCTTGCTCTCTGTTACCCTCTCTCACTTGTATAAATCTTTGAGTGCATTTCTTTCTAACACAAATGATACAAACGGTTCAGTGAGCACACATTTAGATCATTTGTTTCTAACATAAGTTTGCAAAGTTTGCATAAACTTTGACAAACTATGCACTAGCTTAAAAATGTGTCTACAGTTTGTTGTTCGTCGTTTGTTAGTACAAATGCTGCATTTCTTTCTAACTTTAATATTGAATCAATTATCTACACATGATTTTCCTGCTAACTAAAGATGGATTCTGACAAAAGAAAAGGAGGTATGTTCCTGATTGTCAATACTAAAAACTACGGTATGTCTTAAAATACTAAAATTTAGGTATTGCCCTCAATTCTTTCATTGCTGCTATTTTTAATAAAAAGGTTTTATTATCACTATATTTATACTTTCATCAGATGAAGAGTATGAACTGTCATAAAAATAGATATACATAGATGAGTGAAATGTCCTCTGTGTCTAAAACATCTTCTGCAGCGGCTATTTTCCAGTGTAATAAGTTTGATTACCAAAAACATGTGCATGTATTTTTGACAGTTCAAACAGGGTCAGTAAACACTGATTAAACAATGCATTTTTTCTATTTTTTTGACGTTTAGCAAACTATAACAAACAGCACACAACGTTTACAAAAATTTTGTTAAAAAGAAATGCACTCTTTATTTGTCACAAAGTATAGTTTTGTTACTTTAATTGTTTTTTTATTCTTAACACTAGGGTTTTGTGCAGATATAATAGCAATAACTGTTTTAATTTTGTTTACTTGTCTGTGTGGGGTATTTTATTACAGTAATTGAAAACACTCAATCTGAATTACTTTAAGGTATTAATTTGCTATTAAATAATCTTAACAGTTGATAAGGGATATGTATATTTAAGTGGTACTGCTGGTGTATGAAATTCCAGGTTAAATTTCCCAGAACTTGAAGCATTCCTGGTTTTGACAAGTTTAAAAAAAAAAAATCCATTTCACAGCACTAACAGATCTAAGTTCAATACATTAGAATTTTACTGCGGATAATATTTACCAGTATTGAGGCAATAACCCTGTAGTGCACACCTTGTAACAGAATAGTACTGAATAACCATGTAAACATAAAGGAATAATAAGATGTATTAAAATGTATTGTTTGTTTGTTTACAGAATGCTAGTTTAGAGATTATTAAAGAAGAATGGTTTAAGATTTCCAGTGGTAAACTATCAGAACCTTACCAAGTGGAAGATTTTATGTCCAGTTTTAATGAAATATCTAGACGTCTGCTGGAGTATATTGTCAATATCCAAGATTCTAATGTAAGAAATGTAGCCTCATCCTTGAAATGTTCATGTTCTTAATGCATTTAAATTTCATGGGGCAGTAAATGGACAGTCACAGATTTTTGTTAGAATTTACATATAACTTGAACATGTCAAACTGAAAATTTTCCATACAACAAAATATATAGCAGTATAAAAAATGAATTTGAGATCACCTCTCAAAAAAACATAGGAAAAAAACCTCAGAATTCCTGACTAGGACATGCATATGTCATGTGACAGGATTAAACAAAGTTTTAGTATTAGATCAGAAATTAATGTTTGCAATGTGAATCCATTAACTAACAATAAGATGATATTGATTGAATTGTTTTCTATGCATGTTTGAGCCAAAAATTGAAATATCAGTTTCGATCATTTGGTTGTTTATTACATTTTCTTTATCAGTTAGAACATGTATTAATTTGTGAATTTACAATTAATTGTGTGCATTGGACATGAAATAACTTAAATATCAATTACAACATTTAATAATACTTACAAATTTCTTTAAGCTTTGCATAAAATGATATGTTATGTACACATATGTTTTGTTTTTTTATATATCATATATATATTTAAAAAACTTATTGTAAGGAAATATTATGTTACTTGTAGGGAAACACTGCTCTGCACTATGCAGTATCACATTGTAATTTCGAGATAGTCAGTCTTCTCCTCGACACCAGTGTTGTAGATCTTAACAAACAGAACAAAGCAGGGTATACATCTACAATGTTAGCTACTCTAGCCTACACACAGACAGACAGACAGAGAGAAGTTGTTCAACGACTGTTTTCTATGACTGATACTAATGCTAAAGCATCTAAGGTATTTACACTAAGATCAAATGATCAATCGTTTAAATTTTAAATGTACAAATGTATAAGTAAAATTTACCGTACTCAACATGATTTGACTTTTATAATGCAATTAAATGCATATTATGTATTTTTAAGAACAATTTTGTTACTACTTTAGAGGGGAGATAATCCATGCACACAATTTGACTTTTAAAATACAAATTAAATGCATATGTATTGATACTTCTTTAAAGGGGAGATAATCTATACATTGCCAAAAAATTATAGAGAATAGTACATTATCTTTAAATAGCAAGGTCTTTATAACTAAAGGAATTTTCTGCACTATAAAGATTACCAACAAGATATTATACAAAAGAATTTTAGGTGTTAGAGATATTCTTTAGTAAAAATGTTTTCTCCTTTTATAATAGAATATATTCATTGTGTGAGGTAACTAATGATAATATTATGTCCAGTATCAGCCGAATAAACCATGTATGTGCATGGCATCAGCTTATAGCTTATAGTTCAAATGTTTGACATTTTGGAAGGAGATTTTGAATGTAGCGTAAATACAAATTTAGATTTGAAGAAATGAAATTAAAAGTAGGAGATTGTGCTCTCAAAATATACATGCACAAATACAAAAGCATAGTGGATATTTTTGTAGTTATAATATGAAATTTTATTCAGTTTGACAAAACCATAGATAACAGTAAATATTTTGTGGGTACCAATTTTCGTTGATTGAGGTAACCTTTCGTTTAAGTTGATGTTTGATTTCATGGTTTTGCTAAAGTCTGCATACAAGCTTTTAGAACATTAGTAATTCGTTGAACATTTAAATTTGTGGTTCACCTGTACCCACAAAATCCACGAAAATTGGTATTCCACAAATAAGAATGAATCCACAGTAGATATTCTGTATGGTACACATTCAATGCTAGGTTGAAACTTTAGACATTTTTTGTGAACACATTTTTAGGGGCCATCAGAGGTTACTCCAATTCTGCTCTCGGATGCTGCATCTGGGAGTTACCGACAGGAGAGTATAACACCAGGATTTCGGTCATCTTCTGGATCAGTGTACATTCCTCCAAGGACTGCTGCTAAACGCTCTACTTATCACGAGTTTTTTCGCATATAAACATATTACGTATTAGTTAGAGGTATTGCATAGCAGTTATTTATAGAAATTCCTAACTAAGGTTTCAGTCTTAGTATCCATAACCTACATTGATGTGAAACTTTAGTTAGGAGTCAATGTCTCACAACCTATAGATGTGTAGAACACCATAAAATATACACCTATTTTATCGAGCATGTATCAGAATACAGGTAATCTACATGTAGTATTATGCATGGACATTGTCATACAAGTGTATACATTCATATTTATAATTTGCATCTACATATGTGGAGTTTTCATCCTTCCTTTTGGTTCTACATTGTTATTTATATTTCTAAATTAAAAAAAATAAGTTTTATTTAGACTGCATCAGAAATTTGAGAAATTCTTTTCATTGAAAAGAGATATTTTTTATACTGAAGTGTACAGCAGAATCCATAAAGAAGGATGTTTTATTTAAATGGACATTGTATCATTTCTCATATTTGTACTAATTCTGTATATTAGGATGGTCAAACTGCCCTGATGTTAGCGGTCAGTCAAGGTCGTACAGAGATGGTTAATATGCTGATAGATAGCGGTGCTGATATAAATGTACAAGATGACGAAGGATCTACAGCTCTAATGTGTGCATGTGAACATGGCCATACTGATATTGTTAAAATTCTCCTAGCTCATCCCGACTGTGATTCAACCCTTTCAGACAATGTAAGGATATTGTTCTATCTGTTTGATCTATTTCAATTCTAAATGTTGTATGGTACCTCTGTCCTTGTAAAGTACTACATGTATTTTCAGTTTTCTAAAATACTTGTTTTTTCTTTTTATTGTTTCAGTATTATTTATCAGTGGTTTTCTGTATTATGCATTAGTATACATTTTATTGGTGTAATCTGCTTTGTAATGTTTCTTAATCTGAAATCTTAATTTCTTAAATTAGTTAAATGTTTGTAAATTTAGTCTCTAATGATCTAATTGTTCATTTCAATTCTTCCTTTCTCTCAAAACTTATTTTAGTTATCATGTGCATCTTGTGACCTATGACCTCTGACCTTTGTGCATGTTTGTTGTTATATATTTATTGCATGGATATTGTAGGATGGTTGTACAGCCTTGTCTATAGCCATGGAGGCTGGCCATAAAGATATAGGAGTTATATTATATGCTCATGTTAATTTTAAAAGTCAGTCATCTCCTGTAAGTGTGCTGTAGATGAGTTAAAATAAATAGTGAGATCTAAGTCTAAGATATTTTTTTCTTACTGTTAGAGAGAAATATCTACAGAATGTGTTATTATCATACATTAAATAGTGCACTTTTCTTTGAATACATTTTTAAAGACACATGACAAAAACTGAAGAATAATGGCACTCATAAAAAGACTCGTATTGATATTTGGTTCTTTGTTGAATTTTTTTTCTCTCAATTCATATTTTGAATGTAATATACTACTCAAATAAAATTTTGAAACACTTCCATTTTGAGTAATGTGGTCAAACTATGAAGCCTCATATCTTTCGTAATCTTTGTAGAAAATTCTCAAAATAATCTGAAATTAACAGCATTCCTGATTTATAGGATGTTGAATTGATTAAAGAAGAAAACTAAAAAAAATATGAAAAAAATAATAATTTTGCCGGATAAATAAAATGCCCCTCCCAATTTTTTTTCATTTTTATGCCAGGGAAATGTTAGTGTCTTCTGTTCATATGGTATCAATTATGCCATCAGATTCACCACTTCCTTAATTTTGTGCATTGTATGCATTTTTTACCTAGACCATGTGCAAAAAATTGTTGAATTTGTGACTTTCAATTTTGACCTCAAAGTCTGCAAACAGTGTAGATGTCTGATATTAGACAACATAACTGTAGTACTTATGAATACATAAATGATCGAAGATTGAGAAAGGCAAACCTATATAGAAAATTGGAGATTTGTTTTACTTTTATTTTCATTCAGAAAATGTGTAGCTAAATTTTTAGTAGTATATAGTTTTCCATTGCTATACAAATTTTAATGGTATTTTTTCAGTTAAATGTTGATCCATATTTCTTGAAGTTGCAGTCAACTTTTATATATAAGAAATAAATATTGGCTTAATTATGAATAATATGCAGTTTCCGAAAATATATATGTGATATTTACTTACAAGCCTTGCTTAGGTCTCACTGTTTATGAATATCTATTGCTTTATTAACATTATTTGTTTTGTTTTAATATTGTTGTCCTAATCTAACACAATTGTATTTAAATTAAACTCCGTTTGGTGAACCACCGCCTGTGTGAATCATTTCGATAGAGTCCCTGAAGTGGATACCTTGGTATGCGGGGTTGTCAAATTATGCAAATGAATGCAACATTTAAATAATACTCAAAATTGACAACAACACTTCAAATGGTCTGCAATTTTATTTGCTATGGTCTACATGTTTCACCTGCAGGGCAGGCGTCATCAGGACAATTTTCATACAGAAATTAATTACTAAAGTACTCAAAGTGGTACATTGAATTTGACGTTGTCATGGTGAGAGAAACAATGAAAAGTGAAAGTAGCAATAAAGAATTATAAATAGATAAGATGAATATACAATATGACATTGTTCTAAAGGCTTGGTATCTAAATGGACGATCTTCCCATGGTTCCTACCACTTGCGATTTAGATTCCAAGCCTTTAGAACAATGTCATGTATCATATAAATGTAAAACGAACTCAATTTACATTGTAAACAAACTTTATTTTTCTATATTCATCTTATCTATTTATAACTCTTTATTGCTACTTTCACTTTTCATTGTTTCTCTCACCATGACAACGTCAAATTCAATGTACCACTTTGAGTACTTCAGTAATTAATTTCTGTATGAAAATTGTCCTGATGACGCCTGCACTGCAGGTGAAACATGTAGACCATAGCAAATAAAATTGCAGACCATTTGAAGTGTTGTTGTCAATTTTGAGTATTATTTAATTGTATTTAAAGTTCACCATGTTTATTACCGAGAAGGTTCTTGCTGTCAACTGGTGTTTGTTTGTTTACATGATTCCTTCAAATGAAAGAGCAGAATTCTTTACTGGTACTGGTACTCATAAACTAGGAGCCAAGTATTTTAGAATTTCACTGGCATATTTTGAATGAGTAGAAATATTCTTTTATTATGCCCCACATGTATAAAATATTTTGCACAGATATCAAATGTTTATGAATATATGTATGTGTCTATCTTTCTGTGGCAGAAGAACTTGACTTCAACCAAAACCTTGCAAAACTAAAAAATAACATGTTATGAGAAATCTTGATCTAGTGATGTATTATCTGATATATTTTACTAGCAGGGTGGGGGACAATTATCTAGAAGTTAATCCAGATAAATAACTTATATATGAAATAAGGGAGAATTTAAAAAAAGAGTTAATTGGGCAAAATATTTGTCAAAAATTCAACTTTTGTCTTGTATGAAATTTCATAACCATTTTAAATTTGGTAAATCCTTATCTGCATCCATGCAATTAAATACTGCATACAAAAGAAATCTGCATTTGAAGAACATTTTTATGGGTAAATTAAAATTTGATTTGAAGCACCTGACAGATCAAGATTTTTCATCACCCTAAAAGCACACAAAAAAAAGATTGAGTGTCACCTCTCAGGCCAATGTAGGAGAAAAAAAGAAACAAAGAAAAGATTTGTTATCTGTTTCTGGGATTTCATCTGCTATAATTTATGAAATATATATGAGTAGAGATATATCGGATCTAACTTGATACAATGGTAGAATTTTTATGTATTTATGTATATGGATTAAAGACAATGACTTTTAATTAATATGCAAACCCTACAGATAAATGAAAATTTCTTTGTAAAGAGATATGCAAATAAAATTGAGAATGGAACAATTTTAATGTTATACTTGCGTGATTTTGATAAAAAAAAAAAAAAAGCATTGTAATGTTAACTTAGAAAATGAATAGTTTTTAATTAGGTCATTTCTGTAATATTGTTGTTTTATTAACCTGTCTTGTTGATTACAGTGTGAAATACTAGACAACTCAATTCATTTTTTTTTTTTCTGATTTAACTTGTAGGCAATAGTTAAAAAACGAAGAACTTCTGGCAATACTTCACCTTTACCAAGGTATATATGTTAAAATAAGAAAAAAAATTAATGCTCTATATTAGTGTAGGATTATATTTTCATTTTAAATTAATGATTGATGTATGTATAGAAAATATGAAAGTCTAGTGTGATTTTAAGTGTGTTGTAAGGTTTGATGGATGAGGAACAGCCAGTAATTAATAAGGGCCCCACCAAATGGCGGCCCCCCTATAGTGATAAGTCTGTCCGTCTGTGTGTCTGTCCGTCTGTCCGTCTGTCTGTCCATCCGTCCGTAACAAATCGTATACGCTCTATATCTAGAGAACCGTTATGATTTCAAAGTTTATACTTGACATGTATATTAACCAACACCAGAGGGTGTGTCATAATGTATGTTTAACTTCCTAGGTCAAAGGTCAAGGTCAAAAACTTTGGTTTTAGTTGACAACCCCATGTCCTATGGTAAAGATCATGTCCGCTCTATATCTTGAGAACCGTTATGATTTCAAAGTTTATACTTGATATGTATATTAACCAACACCAGAGGGTGTGTCATAATTTATGTACAACTTCCTAGGTCAAAGGTCAAGGTCAAAAACTTTGGTTTTAGTTGACAACCCCATGTCCTATGGTAAAGATCATGTCCGCTCTATATCTTGAGAACCGTTATGATTTCAAAGTTTATACTTGATATGTATATTAACCAACACCAGAGGGTGTGTCATAATTTATGTACAACTTCCTAGGTCAAAGGTCAAGGTCAAAAACTTTGGTTTTAGTTGACAACCCCATGTCCTATGGTAAAGATCATGTCCGCTCTATATCTTGAGAACCGTTATGATTTCAAAGTTTATACTTGATATGTATATTAACCAACACCAGAGGGTGTGTCATAATTTATGTACAACTTCCTAGGTCAAAGGTCAAGGTCAAAAACTTTGGTTTTAGTTGACAACCCCATGTCCTATGGTAAAGATTGTGTCCGCTCTATATCTTGAGAACCGTTATGATTTCAAAGTTTATACTTGATATGTATATAAACCAACACCAGAGGGTGTGTCATAATTTATGTACAACTTCCTAGGTCAAAGGTCAAGGTCAAAAACTTTGGTTTCATTTGACAACCCCATGTCCAATGATAAAGATACAAATTTTTTACCACACATTATTCACAGCGGGGCCCACAGAGATGGCTCCCATCTCAATGATATCTAGTTTTCAATCTTCTCTTTGCATAAGAAAACTAGACTTGTTTATGATGTAGTTTGGTAACATCTGCAATGGTTCAGTTGTTTATGGCCATGTTTGTTGAAAAATTTGACACACATATAAGGGCAATGGACCCCCCTCTGATTGAACTAATTTATGTAATAAGCTATGACAAAAGCACAGAATTATGTCACAAATTGTCATAAATAAAGGTATTTTTATACCCCACCTAGGGGCATTATGTTTTTTGGTCTGTGCATCCATTCGTCCGTCTGTTCCACTTCAGGTTAAAGTTTTTGGTCAAGGTAGTTTTTGATGAAGTTGAAGTCCAATCAACTTGAAATTAGTACACATGTTCTGTATGATATGATCTTTCTAATTTTAATGCCAAATTAGAGTTTTGATCCCAATTTCACGATCCACTGAACATAGCAAATGATAAAACGATAATAAAGACAACAACACCCATCAATTACCGCATGGTTAGAGTTTAATCTGGTCGACATGTTTCGCCAACAAGCATGGCGTCTTCAGGACAATATTACATATGAAATCAAACAGTGAAGTACAAATTTTGCGGTTATGTGGTTCGCCGAAAGTAACGTAACAATAGAGGTTGTTATGACGACGTTATAGATATAAATAGAAAGTTAAAGTAAAATAAGAATCTAGTTAAGTTATAAGTGAAAGTTAGTCAATAAAGTTATTAACGATGTGGTTAGCTGCTATTCTCACACGTCTGTGTAGTTGTTCTCATGGAGGTTTCTAGTGGTATTATTGTAGAAATGATGAAAGTAGATCATAAAATGTCAGTTCATTTCCAAACTGGCCATCCCGTACCAATTCAACTGGCTTCGCTCAGAGGGAGGTACTGCTTCCAATTGCATGCGTTGGTAATAGGGTGAAGTGTATGATCGCCGCAATTTTGGGAATTGTAGATTCATTAATAAAAATTTACTTTGCTAATAAAGTGTCCGTGGATCAAGCTTTTCTTTATAAATATGTTTTGTGGTTTATGTGGTTCATTTCGTTTCTGGTTCCTTCCTTTTTTCTCTAAGTTAAATGCCTGGAATTCCGAATTATTTTGACTTCGTGTAATTATGTATGGTATGTTAATCTTCAGTGATAGACTGCTTCTTATTTGTATTTTTCTGTGGTTGCAGGAAAAAGGAACAGGAGAGAGTCTGATTATAGTATAAATATAAACTCTGCTATATATTACACTAATATACCGAGTTAATGTTCTCTAGCACTAGCATTTTAAGTGACAGTTATAAACATTATACCTAATACTATGATAGGACCTGTCTTGTTATCTTAATCATGATTTCAAGTACACATAGAAAGCATGCTGGCCACTACACTTAGTTCCTCAAATCAAGAATGTACAACCTTCAATAAAATATGTTAAACAGCCAAAATGTTTTACTCTGATTTGAAAATAATACTACATGTATTTACTTTTGTGTAATGTTTGTTTAAAAGAATTTTTTATAATGTTTTCATTTTCATCTTTTCAGTCCAACAATAAGATAGCATGTTAAATAATGTCCAGATAAAGCAGAATATGGTGATAATCTGACCCCAAGATGGTACTTGAGCAGAGCTTGCCAGATGTGTTGTCCAGTATTAATGCATTTGTAACCAGTCAAGCATTTACCAGAATTTGACACTGTGGAAACATCATGTTAAACATTTTATATACAAATTTTATATTAGCTATTGGTCTGAAAGGAACCATAATACCTTTGTATAATGCATGTAATTTAAATGTGTACCCTTTACATTCCAAAAGTTGACCTGTTTTTATGTCCTACATCATGTATATTGGTGTACTAATAGGTATTTTTATAAAAAGGTGCAGATATTTTTTATTATGCTCCTGTACAAAAGTTAGTACTAGTAAGTCAACATTGAAAATTTTCGTATTACCATATTTTTGGAAAAGTATGTTTTATTGATAGGCAAATTTTGTTTAAAGTAATTTTCCAAAAACTATGTTCTTCTACCTCATATTTTCTTTGACCTGTCATGACCTAAACATAATACTCAGAAATGCTAAATTTTGGTGTATGTACTGTGTTTCTTTAACTGCCATAATTGGCCTATGTCCATAAGGTAAAGTACAGGCAATAATGTAATGGACGCCGTTTCTTCTTGAAAAATCTTCTCTTAAATATTTTTTTTATCTGTTAGTAAGAGCCTGAAAATTTTTAAATAGTGTCTTAAGGTAGAAACATATTTTTTAAACAATTTTTCCTGATAAATATCATTTGAAAAATTTTAAAGGTTCTGATTGTTTTAAGATGAGATATGGAGAGAATGGTAAAAAATAGATTTATCACTGTATTACAATTGATTATAATGTTGTTATTAAGTGTTGTTATAAGTGCTACAGATCTCATCCAAAGTGTTGTGTGAAGTGTTGTTTTAGGTGTTTTAACTTATTTGTTTCACATTCCAATGTTAATTTGTTATTATATTTTTTCTACTATGTATGTTGAATTGACAACATTTAGGTATAAACTAGACTCAAAACATTTTAAAAATATGCTACATTTCGTTAATGTCTTAGAGAAAGGGAGGTAAGCACCAGAATTCCAAGTAACTGTCACAAGACTACTGTCTTTGTTTTAGAATAGGCTTTTTATATTTGTATCAGCTGTTGTAATAGCCCATATTTATAGAGTGAATGGATGGATTTATCTTTGTCAACAATTATTTATACAACCAGAGTTTTTAGACTTGAATTCTATATGGTTGATAAGAATGATTCATTGTGTTGTGCCATATTTTAATTTTTTATCTGCAAAGGCCACCTGCTTAATTCATACTAAACACTGTGTCAGTGAAACTAAATTGTTATAATGCACACGGAAATATTTTAATATAGTGGGTCCTATCTTAAGAAGTAAATTAAAGCTTTTTTTTTAAATAGCTTGTGAGAGAGGCTAAATTATAAGCATATATCAATGTGTTAATTTATGAAATTTATAAAACAGTACAAAGTGATTATGTATTTAAGCTATCAGTTAGGTTGTTTGGGATTCATACTCTGTACATATTTTATATTAAAACTATTATACTTCTGTAATCTTTGAAGTCATCCATATTTTTTATCTTTTTACCATGTCATGATGACGAAATTAAAAACAGATCAAGGTTGTATAAGACGTAATGACTTAATGGAGACGATTGTTAAAAACAAATCAAGGTTGTATAAGAAATAATGATTTAAAGGCAGACAGTCTCGAGTCAAAAAATATTACTGTCTAGGTAAAAAGAAAATAGTAAAGAACCAGTTTATAGTTTGGGTAAAACAAATTTATACATGTATTTGCTTTTTTCATATACATAATTGATTATATAATTGAAAATGAACAGTCAAATGTTAAATTTTGTTTAAAAATTCTGTAGGTTGTTATATAAAATGATGGATATGCAAAGTAAAAAAGTAATTTATAAGATTTTCAAATTACATTTTAATGGCATACAATGTTTTAATAGGCAATATTTAAATGGGCATGAAGTTTTAGTCTGAATGCATGATTCCCAATGTTTTGGAAAGAACATTCATTTTCTTGATAGAGTTATTTTCATTTAGATCATTTTAGTAAAACCTCAAATATGGCATTAAACATGTCAATACTCAAACATAAGTTCCTAACCAGTAAGTGTTAAATTATAGATGGTGCTATTTTTAGAATACACAGTATTATGTTAATATTTCACTTAAGTATTTCTTTAGGCAGTTGAGAATTCCTTGTGAGTTTTATAGTAAACAGAAATGGATAATTTCAAATGTTAGAATTATTTCATTTTTTTTTAATATGAAATTATAAATATCAAAATGGGTTGGATTTAGTGTGATTATCTTCAAAAGGGTAGTTTTGCATGACAAGACCCCTCATTTTTTGTTTTTTTATACAGTGTTTCACTCTTTTTTTCTGATGTGAACTGAATTATGTTTGAATAAAAAAAAACCAAATAGATACAAAAAAGGAAAATATGAAATTGTTTGACATTTTAAAGTGAAATATTAGCATATTACAGTGTATAATATAGGAGGTTATGATTCAGTAGGCTGTTGTTTGTGTATTCTGTAGATCTGATACAATGAATGTAAATACATTAATATTTATGTAGTGCCTCATTGCACTCTCTGATAGTTTTACAATAAATTGTTTTTGTTATTACATATCAAAACCATTAATAAAATAAATGACTGTAAAAGATATTGTTATTTTTTGTCTTGATCTCCGTCTTTGTTGTGTAAATGGCACGAAAGGTGATGTAAAAGTATTGCCTTTCTGTAGCATCAGTGTCAATCAACAAGTTTTAGGAAAATCATCTTGGATCACTTAGAGTGTGAATAAAAGGAGACACAGTGAAATTTCAATGAGAGCAACACAGTATTTCAAGTCAACTAAAACTGACACTGTCACTATACAGTATTCAATTACCCACACAATATTGCAAGCTCATTTCTGTTATTCTATGTAAAGGATGCATACAACCTTGGTGAAAAATGCATACAACTTGCATTGAACCTTTTTGCATCACAAGTGATGAAATAGCAATTTATTCAAACACAAAATTACTTTGTATTGGATTATAAAATTTCTATTTACCTACACTAGTCCCTCACTTAACTTAATACACACCTGAAAGTGGCATTTAAGTATCCTATTTTTATACGCCCGTTTACGGGACGTATTATGGTATACCGTTGTCCGTCTGTCCATCTGTCCGTCCGTCCGTCTGTCCGTCCGTCTGTCCGTCCGTCTTCAACATGTCGGACATTAACTCATAAAACGATTTAACCAATTTGCAGAGAACTTTGGTGAATTGTTAATATCTATTGACGTGAGCTCCCTTTCATTTTTTATAAATTTTAGATTTTACGTTTCCGAGTTATGGGGTTTTATTCATTAAAAAAAGGGGGATTTTCCAGTTTTCGGACAATAACTCAAGAATGCTTTCACCAACTTGCAAGAAATTGTGGTGAATTGTTTATATCTATTGACATGAGCCCCCTTTTGATTTTTATAAATTTTAGATTTGACGTTACGAGTTACAGGGTTTTATTCATAAAAAAAGGGGGATTTTCCAGTTTTCAGACAAAAAATCAAAAATGCTTTCAGCAATTCTTATAAAACTTTGGTGAATTGTTTATGTATCTATTGATGTAAGCTCCGTTTAGAATTTTATAAATTTTTCATTTATCATTTCTGAGTTATGGGGTTTTATTCATTAAAAAAAGGGGGGGATTTTCCAGTTTTCGGACAATAACTCAAAAATGCTGTCAGCAATTCTCATGAAACTTTGGTGAATTGTTTATATCTATTGATGTAAGCTCCCTTTACATTTTCATAAATTTCTAATATGACATTGAGAATTAATTGAACTTTATTTGTTTATAGTCTGACAACAGATTTACTAAGTATTGCGCAACGGCACAGTGTATTGCACAACAGCAAGAAATCTTTAATTGAATATAAATTCAATTCATATAACCAATTTCAAGTTCTTTGACTACATTTATTCAGAAACCTATAATATGTCAAATATTTAATTACAAACCAAATTCAGACCTGTATCAAGCTTGAATATTGTGTCCATTTTTGCCCCAACTGTTCATGATTGGACATCTGCGGGCGTATCCAACTGCGCTCAGCGAAGCAGTTTATTAGTTAACCTGGTCCATTGCCATCTGTTTGGCCTCTGTTTAAGTCATAAACTTTAAATAGCATGAGTGCACAGGCTGAAATTTCTCACCTGATTAACTTATCGTGATTGAAATTACTATGTATTATTAGTATGTTGAAAGTCTTTAATATGAAGGTTTACTACAAATATCACATTAACTTAACATTATCAATGATCCATGGAAATGAGGTTGAGATCAGGTCAGGTCAGAGGCCGGACAGACATGTACACATAACAATCACCATACACCAAACAAAGTTGGCCTATTGCTTATAACATCTGAGAAACGGACCTAATTACAAAAACTGAAAATTGACTAAGAATGAGGTCAAGGTTTGATGACCCCCGACAGACAACAGTACACCATACCATCATTCCATACACTAAATTTAATTGACCTATTGCTAATAGTATCTGAGAAACAGGCATAACCATGAAAGATTAACATTGACCAATGAACCATGAAAATGAGGTCAAGGTCAGATAAACCCTCCCATACAGACATGTACACCTTACAATCATTCCATACATCAAATGAAGTGGCCCTATTGCTCAAAGGATCTAAGAAATTGACAAATCCACAAAACTTAACATTGACCAATGAATCATGAAAATGAGGTCATGGTCAGATGAAACCTGCCAGTCAGACATGTTCACCTTATAATCATTCCATACACCAAATATAGTTGTCCTATTGCTTATACTGAGATATGGACTTGACCATGAAAACTTAAAATGATCACTGATTGATGAAAAAAGTCAAGTTCAGGTGAATCCTGTTTTACAGACATGTTACTCATAATAAGTCGCTGAATCATATAAATGAGGTCAAGGACAATGGACATGTAACATGATTAAACTTCGTAATATAAAACATCTGCATACAAGATATCAAGCATCAAGGTCTTCTACCTTCTGAAATAAAAAGCTCTATACAAATATCCTACGGATAGTAATTATTATGTCTCACATAATGCGATTTTTCGTAGCAAGCAAGACCAAAATCCTCTTCTGAAATTGGTGGGCTAATTATTATTTAAACCTGGTCGGAATAATTTTTTGGGTGCATAGTTTTAAAAAAAATTGTGTATTATTACTGCTAACTTGGTTGACATGGATAAATAAAACATATGGTTCAAATGCTGCATCAACTTTCAACTATTGTAACATCAAAAATAAACTGTTCTTAAAATGGTCCATTAGTAACTCCCTTTTAAAATATTATAGAATTGTATTCCTGTTGACCAAAAAGACAATGGCTGCTCTTATGAAAATAAAAAATTCTGTAGAAAAATATGTTAAAATTGTTGTAAATTCATAGGTCATTTAGTCTGAATATTTTTTTTGTGAAATAGGCTTGATATAAATCTCAATCAGAAACACCGATGATGAACCTAACAAGGAAAGTTCATTAGCATTTTCAAAAATCTTCTTATCTAAAACTACTGAGCCAATTTACACAAAATTTTAACACAATCATCTTTTGGTGTCTAGTTTGTAAATTATGTAAACTTAAGCTGCTGACCTACTTACATGGCTACTTTTACTACAATAAGAAAATAGGTGTCAAATGCATGCAATTATACTCCACTGTAGAATTGGGAGCTATATTGCATTTATCTTGTTCCTTTTTTCCGTTCCTCCAACAAATATTTCCATTACAATTTTCTAATGTACTACTGAACCAATCTGGTTAAAATACAGATCCTGTTTTCAAGTTTAGGTTACAAGGATCTGACATCACTCCATTTTACTTTCTGTTCTGGTAATTATTACATCAGCCAATGAAATTTCAGCCTCCAAACTTTTGAAGGTGTGTATTAATTTGACAAAACCAGAGATCCCAAAAGGTCTTTAGAAGAGAAAGTAAAATGGATGTTTTTTTTAGATCCTTGTAAGCAAAGCTTGGACACAGAATCTGTATTTTAATCATATTTCTACTGAACAGAATTACTTTATATTTGGTCAGCAGCTTGACAGTGGTTAGTTGTAATGAGTGAGCACATTTCGGGATCTGTCAAATACCTACTTGCTGTTTGCAGATACTTAAAATTTTTCCATATGTTTAATGATCTTTAAAAAAATTGTCACACTTTTCTTGTGTACTGAACAGAATGACTTCATATTTATTAAACAGCTTTGTCGTGATGACCTTTAATGTGTGAGCACTTTTCAAAAATGTCTGACACCCACTTCCTGTTTTTTGATACTTTGAATTAGGTGTGGATGGCAACATGTGCAATCTTGTTCATTTATCTTAAGTCATATAATCTAAATAAATAAAATGTTTGTGAAATGGTCCTAAAGTAGTGCCCTATCAAAATAAATACCCCTACCTCTGCTAGCCAAGTGACCAACACGGCTGATGTTACTATAAATAATATAACATAGGGGTAAAATTCATGTAATTTACATTGATTTTGAAGTTATTAATCTTAAATGAATTAAAATATAGTAAAATAGTTCTCAGTATTGCCCTTTTCAGAACTACCAATTGCCTGCCATTATTTTCCTGCATTGGCATGTCATTCTTAATGTTTGTTTTCCAACAATTTAATTGTCTCCCCTTGATGCAATGTCTTGCAATGGAAGACCTAGGGATGTTAATTAGCAATATACACTGTTTGGATAAAGCTTCATATTATAGAAGGTAGAAGAGCTGGATGATCCATATTTTCATAGTTCAATAACCACTTGAAATAACTTTATTTATTATAAATAATAGGGCAATACAATTTGTTACATTGCCTAATTTTGAACTAATTCCATGTTTAGTGATCTGTGTAAATTTTTCATGATTAGGTCAGTTTCTCTGGTACAAAAAGTAATAGGTCAACTATACTCAGTGTATAATATTTTTTTCTTTTTCAAGTTAGTTGTCATCCTGTTAGTAGCTGGACAGTGTAGAATTTTTATTGCGCATTTTACATTTATGCTTATCTAGATTTTTATAGCGGTAGGTTTGTGTGAACATAAAACTGGTTTAATCCCATCACATTTTTTGTTCCTGAACCTGGCTGTCTGGATCATATGCTAATAGTTGTTATTGGCTTTTTCGTATGTCTATTTTTTCTAAGGAGCAAGTTGGTGTTGGTGTGAGCTGTTGTGCTTATATCCTTTTTATGTATTATGTAAAAAATTCAGATATACCAGTTCATATTTGTCAAACCAGTCAGTTTGATATGGTTTTTCATACTCATAGTTTCTTGATGTCTTCCTGTTTCTAGTGTCTTGAGGTTGCTGTCTAATAGACCCAAAATCACCTTTTATTTCTATTTACTCTACCGGGTAACTTGGTTTCATTGTCATTGAATCATGTATTATTTTAGTGATAAGGGTATGACAGATCATATAAGTAATTCAGTTATCATCTGACCTCTACTTATATGTCATTTTACAATTCTTGGATAAGACCTGTTTCTCAGTAACAAAATGAAAATGTTATCAGATAATCTACAAGTAAAAATGCCAAATACCAAAAAGGTAAGACTATTGCCTTCAACACTAAAATAAATAGCTTCTGTTAAAACAGATCAAGTCATAAACTTGGCAATTTTTAGTCAGTATAGACCACGAACAATGTGGTGGGGAAACAATATTCATAGTATTGAGTTATTTTGATGATCATGTAACTGTGTACCAAATACCAACTTATAGAGAGCTGTTAAACTGGCCTAATCACAAACTTTCAAATGTTGGCTTTAGAAAATATAATTGGATTTTGATGAAAACAAATAGCAACTTTGGAATTCAAAAATCTCCCTTTGTGAATGCATATAGTTGTACCCAGATCTACTTATACGAAACTTGATCACAAGCACATTTCTATAATTCTTTAGTCACTTAGAATGTTAAACTGTCCTAAATATGCATGATATTATATTAACAACTTGACATTAAACAAACAGATATCAATCAATGAAGTTCAGAACAAAACAATGCAGCCCATAAAATAGAGAAAACAATGCAAATTTGATTTCATATTTATTAATCTCCATTATCTGATGATGAATCTGAATATGGAAACAATGTTTGTAGTGAGTTATCTCCCATGTTCTGTATATTCTTTGTACTATATTCTCTTGTCTTATTTTTTGACAAATTTGTTTTCACAAAAGTCAATGGCTGATCTTGTAACTCTAAATTAACATTAGCTATATTATCTTGGTTTATACTATTGGTATCTAAATATCCAAATGTATTCCTGTACTCTGAATCATTGCTTAAGATAGGTGTTTCTAACGGTAAAAAGTTTTTGCATTCCTGCTGATCACATGGAGTTTCATCTAACTCTTTATTTGTATTGGCACCAACTGAATATTTATGACTACCTGATGACAATGTGGTATCTGAATCTTCACATGATGAAAACATGTTGGTAGATTTTGCAGGCATTTGACAAAATGGCATTTCATATGATATTGCTTTTTGAACATTCACAGATTCATCCCCATTCAATTTCCTCTTCTGTCCTAAAATTACAGAAGAATGTTACAGACAGGCAAATATTGGTGATTGAATTGAAAAAAACAAATTATATGAATTATTAACATAACAATATTTTTTAACATAGTTTCAGAATCCAAAAGACTATGCAAAATGTAATTGTTTGTATATAAAAATAATATTTAGCACATTACATTGTTTGGGATACTGTTAAGCAATCACATTGTCTTGGTGTGTGATTTTAAAAATATTAAATAGAATGCCTAAGATTCTGATTCAGTACATTAATAAGAACTTGTTTGTGTTTTGAAATATAGCCTTTATCAATGACGTCATAATAGGCAAGCAAATACCAAAACATATTTTGACCCAATTTCTTCCTAAACTTTATTAATTATTATAATGGTTATCAAATCTATGCTAAGAAATGAAAGTGCTTCTATATTTTCTATTAAATTAAAATGCATAAAATATTTGCCACTGGTCTTTAAGCAACCAATAATCAATCAATCTATTAAATTGAATAATTAAAACAAGCATTCTGAGAGTATTGCATGGCAATACAGTCCCCTACTGGTTAAAAATTCATTGTATTGGAACAAAATGCTAACTTGATCTATAACTTGTCCTGGTGTAAACTATATAACAAATATCAAGTCAATATCTTCAAGCATGATGAAAAAAAGTGCGGAAAACTGATTATTTAAGTGAATTTTTGAAGTCCAAGCACCATAACTCTGCACAAAATCATCAGACTGGAACAAAATTCGAACTTGATCTATAACTTGTCATGATAAAACTGTATACCAATTATCAAATCAATATCTTCAAGCATGACAAAAAAAAAGTGAGGAAAACTGATTATTTGAGTGAATTTTCTAAGTCCAAGGATCATAACTCTGCACAAAATCATCAGACTGGAACAAAATTTGAACTTGATCTGTAACTTGTCATGATAAAACTATATAACAATTATCAAATCAATATCTTCAAGCATGACGAAAAAAAGTGTGGAAAACTGATTTGCCGGACTGACGGATGGACAGACGGACAGATTGCAAACCTAAAGTCCCCTTTGACTTCGTCGGTAGGGGACTAATAACATTGGTTAATCATACAACCTGTTGTATATCCTCTCTCTACCCATGGAATTTGCTTTACTTCTGGATCAAGTTTCCTCAACTTCCATACAAATGCTTTGTACTGTCTTTGTAAGTGATCAATTTTCAGATTAAATTCTTTAATTTTGGCTTCGGGGTAACATGGTACTTGTGATTGCTGAAATAATGAATGTATATTAAATAAATTTATTAATTTAGCTACATCCGAGTCAAAAGTTAGGCAATCATCTTATTTGACTTTTAAAACAGTTCTTTGATCATCCACAAAATAGTACATTAACAAATCACACCATATGGAAGTTTGTCTCTCGCTCTTTTTCAGATTAAATTTGTGATTGTTATATCGAAGGAAAAAGTAATGATAAGGTTACTTTCTTGTCTTATTTCAAAATCATGAAGTATCAAAAATCTTGATGTTGGACAGAAATTATTAAAATTTCCACTTGAAAATATATAGTTTTTTATTGTAGACCAAACTGTTGAATTTAATTTTCATGAAATCAACATGGTTTTAAAAATAGACTGTGAAAAGGACATAAAAATGAATTGTGATGTCAACAGTGTTTTGAATGTAACCGATTGCTTGCAACAGAAGCAGGTTACCAGGAGACTATACATGAATATCGTTTTAGTTTACATGCACACCTGTACTTGCATAGTAAAATGATCAATTGCAGTATAAATATTTGTTTTTCTGCCTTTATATATCTTGTATCTAATGAAACCTGAATAAACTTACTGCCAAAATTATCTCATTCTGAGATTTTCCTATAAATGTTTTAATATGAGCAAGATCCTCTCAAGAAAAGATACTTCTCACAACATATTATGATACTGAAGATTTTTATCGCAGTCATATATGTTCTTGGTGCATACAAATTCAGTCCATTTTATTCTTGCATCTATTTACCAAGTTCACAATTTCTTATGTATACAATTGTTTGTTATTAATTTCGTAATTACATGTAAAAATATATATTCATGTGTCTGTCCGAAGTCACTGGTTGTATAATGTTATATTATATTTGTTTTGTCTATTTGGCAATTCTGTATTGATCGCTGTTTTTTTTTTATAGTCTCTGTTACTTATATTTATAAATCTCTAGAGAACTTATAACTTGACATACATGTATATACATTTATCAATTATTAAAGACTGAATATTGAACTCGGTTTTTTTTTTGGGGGGGGGGGGGGGAGGTCATTGGTGTGCTGTCTGACTGAGGTATTCCTCTCATCTGGACATATACATACTCATTGACAGTATAACAAACATAAAATGTCAGTACAGATAAAACTATTTTAAAGAAAATAAAATGTATTGAAAAACTACACATAGAAAACCAATTTAAGCTCACAAATACCTTCAAACAAAAGTCAATATCATCTTTGATACTTGGTAACCAGTGCTTGATGTCTTCAGCTGTATTGATATCATCCTGTTATAATAGCAAGTAGATTTACTTTAATTATAGATTATACAGATTCTCATTTAAACGAAAGCAAACATAGAATAATTTCATTAGTTTGTTTATTTCTAGTCATGTAATTTTTACAAATATTAACTTGCATTTGAATGGAAGAAAAGCTTGTAGCTCTTAACTAAAAGTGTACAAAAATTATTATGGCATACATGCAAGATAGTATAAAAATAAGATGTTATATGATTGCCAATGAGATGTTATATGATTGCCAATGAGACAACTAAGTATATCATGTATGATAGGTATAAGGTGATATGAAATATTTTTTTATATTTCTATACAGTGATATCACTTTTTCAATCATTAATTCCATGAATAGTAATGTCAGATATTATCACATCTAATATAAGTCCAATAAGGAACTTCAGGAAAATATTCGATGGTTAGATTTTTTCTACTGGTAATTATTCACTTTGATTATGTATTTTGAATTTTCTTGACATTGAGCATTTGGAGTAAAATATATCACCATCAGATAACGCCTAAAAAACCAGTAATATAATTTTCTTATTCAGCTGAAAACAACTATTGATGAACATAATGTACATTTTATTCATTATAAAAAAACAACATACCAGTCTAGGTCTCTTGGGATTTTTCTTGTGTTGTTCTGCAAAAGAAAATTAAATCTAATGGATCAAAAACTCAAATGGCCAGGTTGAGCAGAATGTTTCACAAATAATGGAGAATGGTCTGTTCAAAAACATTTAAACAGTGTAAAATATGTGTAAATTTCAATATATTTGCCGATTTTCTGTGAATTTCAAAAACAAAAATTGGTACAATCTTTTTATCATTTTGCTGAAAAAATGATTAAGTAGTGTGAAAAAATGGAAAATTTAATTTTTGAAATTGGCGCCATATGCACATGTATCAAGAAAAATTTGACATTGTAAAATATGCATTGGGTGAGAAAATGTGAAGAAAGTTTCATGCAAGTGCATGACATTTTTAAGATATTGTTACATCCTATTAATTAACTTTTTCATTTAATCATCATTTTCTATTAATTCATCGTTTATTATGTCTGAAATGTTGTTTTGTTATTGTGTATATAAATAATTTTCATTGTTTACCTGTTTAACTATGGTACACAGGATTATTTTTGTTAAGTATGATTGATTTTATGTATCTGATCTAATTTGTCTGATTGTGTTATTAAAATATGTGACTGGTCAGTTTTACTATAAAAGGTATAAGCAAGTACACTTGGGTGTTCAGTCTGTTACAAACAGAAAGTTACGAACCCCATGCTGAAGTCAGCCATGCTACTTATAATTAGTTTATAATTAATGGTACATACTAGTTACCACAAATAATTGTGGTTAAAGGTAACCATAAACTACGGTTAAATTATACCAATAAATGTGGTAAAAGTTGTTAAAACCAGCCTACCAGTATTGATCGTCACTACTCATTTCAAAATGCAAAATGCTTATGATAGAAATCAAGAACTATTTGGTTCTATTTGATTGGTAAAACTGTCGTTGTGATCTGATATATAATAAAATCATTTGTTCTATGTAGACCTTGAGTTTTCCAGCTATATTCTCGATATAAGACGGTTCACGCTCGCAACTAAGACATGTAATGCACTGAACCCAAAATTGTAATGATAAGTGTGCACTTTACAATATAAAGTTTTGCCAAACAGAATTTTTTTAAGTACAACATTTATTAAACTGAAAATGTGTCACATAGTATTGCATAACCAGGTGAAGCTTGGTGCCATAAATCAAGAAGCTATGAATATGCTGTAGCAGAAAATTATTAACAAAAATGTGCTATGGATAGACAGTTGCAAAAATGGATGGAGGTCAACCTGAATACTTTAAAGCAGGGGTTTAATTAAGCTTAAACATTATATCCAATACAATTGAAGCAAACTTTGTGTAAAGGAGTTGAGACCATAGTTTTAGATTGTAGGATGCCATTATTTCTTAATCATTAGTTATTTTCATATTCAGTTAAAATGATTCTTTTTACATATGCAAAATGAGGTAAGGGGCATATTCAGGGACTTCAAGGTTGTTTGCATGGTGTGTAACCCTTAATAATTGGCTGAGTGGAGCTTGAGAACAATTTTTTGATGGGTTTTATCATTTTATGAACAATATTTTGGTGGTCTTTAAGACATCAACAAAAATTTTCTTCAGATTTTAAGCCTGAATTCATCCATGCAGATCATAAAGGAAAATAATTCACATAGATATGATGGAGACAGATATTAAGGGTGCCAGAATTTCTAGTGCAGATTTATTCATAAAAAAAAGAATATTCTAATAATATAAAAGCATTAGCTGATGAGTCTTAAGTTTGTCTGGCTTATGAGCTCTGAGGATCCCAAGATTATTAGACTAAATAATCAACTCAACAATTTGTTTTCAACCAGTTTTTAATCATGCACAACTTGTCAGAATATTTATGTAGTTGAATGTGGGCAGTATTTGGAAAAAGAATATCTTGTCTTATTATTTAAAAAAAAGACAGGAATTCCTACAATTATTATAGTCAATTGATAGTTTTTCATATAAGTTAAAATAATCCTTTATTACAGTTATAGTTAGAAGTAGCAGGTGGGTTTCTTCCAGCTAGCTTGTTCAAGTATTATAAACTGGGTTACTGTACTTTTAAATACATGTATATTCAATTCAGCCAGTTTTATAGCTGGTTTTGACTTTAATTTGTTGTTTTTTTTCAACCGTTCATTAAATTATTGTATATAAATTTAATGTAATTATTCAGTTCAGCTTTGGGTACAGCAAGTTGGCTTTTGGATACACCTGAGTTTATTTATTATTAATCCAAAATAAGTCATGTCCTTAAGTAAGGGTCTCGGGAAAGATTATCTATATTTATGTTGAATGCTAGTCAATTCGTTCCAAGTCCGATTCGTTCCAAGCCAATTCGACCCACATTTGGTCAATTCGTACCAAGTCAATGGTCAATTCGTTCCAACTGATTTAGTTCATTATTATTGGGACTAAACAATTTGTTCCAACTTTTTTTTATATGACTCCGTATATTACAGTTTTTGTATAGACTAAGTGTACAGTGCATGTCATTTGCAAAAGTAATTTCACGTCCATTTTCTTTTGTATATTTCATATAAAAGGACATTTAAAATTATTTTGAAGGATTTAATGGTTTGATTTTAACAAACAATGCGTAAAAAAATGCAGAATTGTGTGAAGTATATTTGTTCATTTAGTTAAACATTTTTTTGGGGGTTGTCTTCGTTGTTTTTTCTCTCCATCAAAACGATGACAATTAAACAAGACACCACGTTTCCATGATTGAATGTAAACATATTTGGACTTTGCAGCCTATTATAATATTTCTGTTTCAAAATTTAATTTTCATCGGTTTTAAAAAAAAGTTTACCTATATAAAAAAACTTTTTTTAGAATTTCAGCCCATACTTTTGTTTCTTTTGTTTTCCATCTTTGTTTTAAGTTAATTTTTCTGTTTCGTACAAGGAAACTGAGTAAAATTTTATATTGTAAAACAAACACAACCAATGCTTAGAATGAGTAGTAACGATGCACATTCAGAAAAACATAACACTTGGTATGGTTTTAATTATTATTTACAGGCATTTTTGACCCAAGCTGAGTACAGATTTATTCTTTTGATGAATGCATAAAAAAAAACTTTTATGCGCAAAGTATAAAAATACAATAAGAAATTATGATTTCTTTGAAAATAGAATTAGTTAGTATTTTTTTATATTAAATTGTCATGAAATATTTGCATAAACAAATACTATAACTGCCGGTCAATATATCATTCCCAGTATAAACCACAGAAATAGATTTTAAATATATATATATATATATATATATACATTTTATATAAATCTATTTATAATTAATTTATATGCACATAAAGCATTAAAAATAAAAGTAATAAGGTTATTTTAATAGATTATGTGATAAAAAGTTGGAACGAATTGACTAAGGAACTTGGGACGAATTGGTTGGAGCGAATCGGAGTTGGAACGAATCATCCAGATACCTTTATGCTACATATTTTTTTGCAACTGTGCTACTCTCTAAATATTGTGATTTGTATGTCTAGCCCTCTTTTGATAACTTGCTTAAATAAAGCTGATTTAATTTGACTGCAACACGAGTTGAATTTCCTAATGTCATAACTTCTTTTGAGCACAATACCATCTTTCTGTTGCTTCAGCCACAATCTATTTAGCCTCCCTAGTTGTTTCTCCTCATTTCTGGCCATTCTTGTGTTAGCTTCTCTTTTTGGTCAATATTGATTTTCCTGCTGAAATTTGTTTCGTATAAAAAAAATCAACACGACAAGGTCCTGATAGCCATTGTTTACTTCCATCAAAGGAAAAACTACAGATTATTTATCAACATTAATTTTTTTTAAATAACTCTGCACAAACTGCCGATTCGGATTCCAGTTTGGAAATATGAAAATTCGAAAACAATACCACAAAAAAGGCGATGTAAAATTTACCGTATTTTTTTGTTTTTGTTTTACGAGTAGGAAGAATTTACAACTAAAACCACATTTTGATGGCAACAAATCAGCCACAGGTGATAAGATACATTTGACTGAAAAATTAATCATTGTCACTTTGTATCAGACACTTTATATGCTACCATCTGACCATATCAGTATGGTAAATTAAATTACAAAAACGCGATCTTTGCCTTTCGTGCATACATTTTTCCAACACAATGTCCTATGACGTGTTTACACTAGAATGACCCCAGGTCAAATGGGGCATTTCATTGATATAACATAAATTGGAAACATGTCTTTTATTTGACTGTACTTTGGGAAAATTAAATATATAATGACCCTTGTTGGTAGATCATGCAAGGAACATGCATGTATGTGTCCCTTGTTAGACACTAAGAAGAAAAGTTTTCCAACAAGCAAAAGTCAATATTACATCTTTTTGCCATTTGTCTGGAATTACTGGACATCACAGATGTTCCTGTAAAGTTTTGACGTTACAACAGAAAATGTCTGATACATTGTACCACCAAAGAAAAAAAATCATTGTACATTTTTTGTAAGACTTCAATAGTTCAAATTTTCAGGTGAAGTGTCGCAAATTACCAAATAGCATGAATGTCTATAACAAACATGTTCTAACATGACTAATTGAATACTAGTTATATATAAATTTTAAGATCAAATGAATAAATGTCATGACATTATAACGTCATAATAACAAATAAGATTTTTGACGACATATCCTGAAATTCTTTGCATAACATATAAATTAAATCCTGCATACATCAAGATGTTCATTCTGATACCTTCATTGTCAAAGGGCTTACCAATCATCTGCCCTTACTGATACCTTCATTGTCAAAGGGCTTACCAATCATCTGCCCTTACTGATACCTTCATTGTCAAAGGGCTTACCAATCATCTGCCCTTAACGGGCATGTTACATAAATGATAATATTAGGCTGACGCTACAATATTCATTTGTACATGTATCTGATGAGCTCCTGATGAAGACTATTATGCGTGTTTAATAATATCACATGTTGTCTAACAAATAAAATTCATGAATATTCATGAATAATTCCCCTTTGACATTAAGCAGAAATCAATCAGTCTTTTCTATAGAACAAAAGGGGCAGATGTTTGGATACTTTAAGTGAGGGTACCCAAATTGCACATATTTTGACATTTTTTCCCCTTTATTTATTTAATATGTTTAAGAAACAGACAAAACTTTATTTGTTTATTTTGTAGATATATCCTTATATTACATGTATATACAATTAGAATTTTCCACAAAATTTATTTTCAGTCCTTGACTCCATAGTGAATCATAGAAAAATGGGTTTGAACAGACCTCCAAAAGGATTCAAGATTGTGTAATGAGGAGTACCTAAATTTTGCTTTATTTCTGCACATGTTTTTAATGATTTGACAATATAAATAGTCTATTCTTATTTTTAAAAAAAATGTCTGTATTTTGTAAGGAAATAAATGCGTTTGCGGCATAATTCAATTACTTGTTTTTCAAATTCCCCTTTTTGTGGATGTCACATGCATCAGTACCAGTGGCAGATCCATGGGGGTGGGGGGTGGGCTAAGAGGGGTAACGCCCTCTTTAATCTGCAAAAAAAATTATTATATCATATTGTTCATGATTTTTTAGCATAAAATCATCCCATTTAGTATTATATAATCTGTTTAATGGAATTACACCCCCTTTTAAAAATCCTGGATCTGCCCCTGATTACTGTAAAGTATATTTTTTCAATTGGAGAATTCATGGGTGGGTGAGAGGGTTGCTGCTCCAAAGTTGGTCATCTGGTGGGAAGAGCATCAATTTTGATGATTTTTTGTCCTATTACCTAGGGATGCTGATAGATGTATCTCCCTGTAGTCTGCATGTACAGTGGACCTTAGTGAACACATTAACCACAAAATTTTCCTCTTAGGTTGGAGTGAAACTTATCTGGTATGGCAGTCTAAAGAAGGTAATTTCCACTGAAAATCAAGAATTTTCTTATTTTTGGCTTCACCTGGACCTGCAATCGAAAGTAGTCATTCCTTAAGCGTATTTCAATAAAAAACATGATCAAGAGTTATATGCTCATGAATGGTTTTACACTATTTTGGGAATTTTTAGGCCTCTGTATCGGCTTTGCCAGACACCGAAGTCCCCCTCCAGAAAAAAATATCTGATTTCAATTTTGGCAGTTCGTATTTGGGCTCAAACTCCACCTTAAACCTGAGAATCATGACAATATATAGCCATAGGTTGAGGGAACATGCATCAGTTTCGAAGTACATATCATACAGTTGTCCTCTAAAAGTATGGAATGCCTTTTGTAAAATCTTTTGGGTAGAGGCTGTTATATTAGGGCCCCCGCTCTGTAAGCCTGATTTGGTATAAGTTTTTTTGAATCAAATACAATTAAAATGTATGTATCAGTGTATCAGTTGTTTTTCTATTACATCAATGGTAACTCAGTTCAATACATGTAAAACATGTGCATGTACATGATATATGACTTTTAAATCATAAAAACCGAAAAAAATTCCCTCACTTCTCTTGTAGAGCACTTGTCTGTCCCTTACATGTATCCTTGATTTTGATTGGTGTGCTGTGAGAGAAGGGATCAATTAGATTAAGTTCAATTTTGTAGTTTTAGGTAAAGATCAAGCTAATTCCATGAATTCTGAATGATTGATTGACAATTTTTCATTGATTATGCATTCAGGCATGAATGTAGCCTTCGTAGGGCAGCAGAATATAGGAACTGAATGAAGATTAAAAGTTTTTTTCATTTTTTTCTTCCTACATGTATTTTGACATCAACTTTATATTTTTGTTGTATTTAATAAAGTTTAAATACACACATACAGATATAATTGTATATACATCTGTGCACTCATGATACTTTACAGCCGAAGCCCGCCTCCGTGTGTGGTGTTTTCTCGCTGTGTTGAAGACCCATTGGTGGCCTTGGGCTGTTTTCTGCTCTTTGGTCGGGTTGTTGTGTCTTTGACGCATTCCCTTTTTTCATTCTTAATTTTATTTTGTTTCTTCTATAGGCTGCCGCTGGGGCTTCTGGCAGTGCTACACAAGAACACAGTGTGAGAGTTCTGAAGTAAGTAGTTCATGCTAGAGGAACAAAAAACTTTGTCGCATACTGTGGATTCATAATTATTCATGGAGTACCAAATTTTGTTGATTGAATGTGTATAGGTTAATCACAAATTAAAGTGTTCATCAAAGTTCAAATATCCTATAGGCTTGTATGCAAACTTTGGCAAAACCACGAATCAAGTATCCACACAAATAAAATCTTTCCTCAAGCCATGAAAATTGATATGCACTAATATATAAATCCACAGTAATGTTTCTATCTAAGTACATGTATTTGACAATTATCATTTGGTCCCTATGATTGTTTAAGAAATCAATCTGTCCTTGATTTCTGTACTTGATTAAAAAATGTACTTCCTTTATTATTGAGTTTTGTAGTAATTAAAACTAATTTTGGGGGAATTTTACAGAATTTAGGCTTACATAACGGCTAACTCTTGTTGTCTCAAACTCGGTTGACTCGAAAAAATTTTGGTCGAAATATACTACTGCAACAGTTTGTCATTGCAACTCCTCTGAAACCACACAACAGAATTTCATGAAACTTTGTAGTTAATGAGGACATTATATTAAGATACATGTGTATATCAACAAGAATTTTTTATCAGTTGACTTTTGTAGGAGTTATGAGTCAATCTGGTGAGATTTTGTTTGCCCAGTGGCAATGAAACCAAGATCATGTTACCTTAGCAATCCAGTTGGATATTTAAATGTCCTTGAAAAAGAATTAGCAGCTTTGAGTTTCATATCATGATAAAAAGAGATGTGGGAATAAAGGACAATGTTGAATGTGATAGCAACCCAAAGACATAAGAACTTTAAAAAAATCTAGTATGAACTGGCAAATTCAGTAGATCACCTAGCTGAAGCAGTAGTCCAGTCTACTTTCATCTTTTCTGTGCATTAATGTTTCTGATCTATTGTGATTAGATATTTTTTTTGCATTTTGTAGAGATCATAGGAAGATTTATAAGATGATGAAATTTTCCTCAGGCAATGAATTGGACTTTGTAAAACTTAGCGAGGTAAAAATTATTCTTTATTTGCTTTTATTCAAATGTTATTAACAATTACATGTAACATGATTTAAACAATTTCATATATCATCAACTATTGGATTAATTGATTTATAGTATGCCAAAGTTAGTACTCTTACTCAGAAAAGATGTGATACAATATTTTTATAACAACATTTTAGCATGCTTACACTACCATTTGTTGTCTTGCCCCAACATAGCTACAAAGGTGTGACTAAGGTGTGCTGTTTCAGCTTCAGCTTAAGGGGAACCAGTGAACCACTAATGGTAAATCAATGACATTTGGTATGCAGTTATATAAGAATTGGCACATCTCATTCTTTGGAGATTTTTTGCCCCCTTCTCAGGCAGGGTCTATTGACTTTGAATGTTTTGCATAGTTTAAATGTTAAAGTTTGTGATTAGGTCAGATTTGAAACACCAATATCATGAATATGAATCTTAATCTTTTAGATTATCCTTACAAAGGGAAAATTTGTTAAGCTTTTACCTTCAATCATTGATATTTGACATACTTTTTTGACTTACAAGTGCTTAAAACACAGAGAAACATATTAAAAAAGTTTCAATGGTCTATGGAACATTTCTTTTAGTTCATTCTGAAAACGATAACTTATTTATTAATTGAACACATGTATTAGTCAATGAAATTATAGGAAATTTGTATTTTTAAAACTGACACAAACCATATTGGTTTCCCTTATTACTTATTTATAGTTTATATAGTTATACTTGTTTATAATGATATGTTATGTTTATGTTGGTATGTTTTTTTGAACAATCATTGTTGTATTTAATGCATGGCTATTCAACTAATTGACACTGAGATCATGAGTTAATAATAAAAAGATCTAATCTTATATTATGACTAAAAAAATAAAAGGTTATGTGTCATCTAATGTCTTATTTGTTGTTGCTCACTCATTCACATGTATATATATAAAAGTGCATGTTTTTGTTATAGACACCAGTCAGAATGGAGAGAGAAAATAACTTCAAAGAGTACAAAACAGCTAATGATATAGATCAGATGCCTAAGTTTGGAGCTGGTAGTGAGTTTGGCAGAGAACAGAAAGAAATAGCCAGAAAAAAGAAGTATGGAATCATGATGAAAAACTATAACCCAAGTGATCAGCCATGGCTTTTAAAGATTGGCAAAAATAAAGAAATGAAAAGGTATTTGTTTAGATATAAAATGGAAATCTTGTACAACACAAAAGTTTCAAAATTACTTCTATACTTCATAACATTTATAAGTCCTTCTCCTAAATGCAAGACATTGTTTGTCAGACTATTTTTATACAATAATTTCTGTTCCTGATACCATCCTTAAAATAAATGAATGTCTTTGAGAAATTCTGAAAAATCCTGGAATATTTTGTTGCAAAAATAGTGGGAATCCGGTTAGATTGTAAATGTTGCTTGTTAAATTGGATATGACATAATTAATAAAAGTGTCATTTCAAGGCTATCTTTGTCATATTCCTTTGTTGATTTCACCTAGGAAACTTATGTTGACATCTGTTTCCTATTTCTTAGAGTTCAGGTTCAAGTATGAATAATTTCTGTTTAATTTGAATAGATATAAAGGTGTGAGAGAAGGAACTATAACAGAGAACACGTCATATTACATATTTACTCAATGTTCTGATGGAGCATTTGAAGCTTTCCCTGTAGAAGAATGGTATAACTTTTCTCCAATGATAAGATACAAATACCTTAACTCAGAGGAAGCTGAAGAGGAGTTCAGCAGGTAATTAACGTATTCATTTAATTTTTTTTCTGTGCTATAAATTTTGCTACATTTGCATATTATGAACACATATATTTTGTACAGCCCGCAGTAGTAGATTCTTGAGCAGGTTAAAACTTTTGTTTAAGGTAGTTAATCATGAAGTTGAATTTGAAACTTACTACACAATTACATTATGATGTGAACTTTTAAAAATTGATACAAAATTACAGTTTTTATCCCAATTTCATGGCTCACTGAACAAAAAATGTGATAGTGTAAAATTAAATTAGTACATTCTCAGTTTAAAGATTTTGGTTAAGGTAGTTTTCCATGAAGTTGTGATCTTATAAACTTGAAACTTATGTTAAACATGTTCATGGTGAGTCAATCTTTTTAAATAATATGATCCTGATTTCATGGTTCACTGAACATAGACATTATGATAGTGCCAAGGGGGAAGGTGTTCTATGGTCACATTCTTGTTATTTATAATTTCATATACTCTAGACAATTTAAAAATGATTTTACAAAGCCCTGTCACAAATTTATTTTAGGCAAATCATTTAGATTATTATTACAATTTGTGTGTGTGTGTTTTGTTTCTGTGTCTTTCACATGTTCTACACATTTTTCATTTTATCTATTAAAAACCATAATTTAAATTCAAAACCGTGAAAGAATATATAATGTCCTCTGTATTTGGATCTTGTTAAAGACTATAGTTTCATAAAGATACTATGAGATTTCTTCTTACATAATTGTGGATGTTAATCGGCAACCTATCTTTTATTTTATGATACATTATTTGCTCATTTTATTATTAGTGTTTGCTGAACACACAGCTTTTTTTGTAACAAAATAAGACATTGAACTCTTTTTGTTGTAGACGAGATAAGACATTGAATTATTTTTCCATCATGGTACGGAAGAGATGCAGAAACGATGAAGATACTGATAAAGTGGATGAAGAGGAGAAGAATCTCAAAGTGAAAACCTCGAAGAAAAGCAGTAAAGATTTAGTAAGATGTTGTTTATTACTGTACAATTACTAACTTATTACATGTTTTTCCCCACGCACAACAAAGTTGTTGAGGGGATAGAACTATTGATTTCTGTGCAGTCATATAACTGATTTTTATATGAAATCAATCCTGTAATATGTTATAACGGTACATTTTCTTTCAATTGGGAAGTGTTTAGATATTTAAAATAGCATCACTAAGGATTTGTTAAGATTCAATTATTTTTTATTCAGTTAAGATGACAAACACTGTTTAACTCAGTATCCATCCAATTATTTAAACTGTGTATATCAGATGTTTACAGGTGTAGATGAATGGTTTGATATATCAGCCACTTTGTATTTCAGGTGTTAACAGTTAAAGATGAATAGTTTGATATATCAGACACAATGTATTTCAGGTGTTAACAGATATAGATGAATGGTTTGATATATCAGACACTGTGTATTTCAGGTCTTAACAGATATAGATGAATGGTTTGATATATATGACACCTGTGTATTTCAGGTGTTAACTGGTATAGATGAATGATTTGATATATCAGACGCAATGTATTTCAGGTGTTAACAGATATAGATGAATGATTTGATATATCAGACACTGTGTATTTCAGGTGTTAACAGATATAGATGAATGATTTGATATATCAGACACTGTGTATTTCAGGTGTTAACAGATATAGATGAATTGTTTGATATATCAGACACTGAATATTTCAGGTGTTAACAGATATAGATGAATGGTTTGATATATCAGATGATGAAGATGATGATGACAATGATGAGGAAGATGGCGATGAAGGTTTGCTATTATCTTTCAATAAACTAAAAACATGGTTATCTTTTAGTGTACTGTTAACTCAGAATTTCTGGATTTTTTAATTATATTGCAAAAGTTTTAATGGGATAGCTTTCGCAAAAATAAGAATAAATAACATTTTTACTCTATATAAAAAATGTATTCATCTGAGGGAACTACATGTCAGCATATACTCCACTTTGCCAGATTGAACTCTTTTTTAGCTCACGTGTCCCAAAGGGCCAAGTGAGCTTTTCTCATCACTTGGCGTCCATCGTCGTTGTCGTCCTCCGTCGTCGTCTGTCGTCGTTAACTTTTACAAAAATCTTCTCCTCTAAAACAACTTGGCCAAATTAAACCAAACTTGTCCACAATCATCATTAGGGTATCTAGTTTAAAAAATGTGTCAGGTGACCCGGCCAACCAACCAAGATGGCCGCCATGGCTAAAAATAGAATGTTCAGCTAAGTAAGATCTACAAATAAGTCATCTTGACCAAAATGATCAGTTGACCCCTTAAGGAGTTATTGCCCTGTATAGTCAATTTTTAACCATTTTTCGTAAATTTTTGTAATCTTTTACAAAAATCTTCTCCTCTGAAACTACTAAGACAAATTTAACCAAACTTGTCCACAATCATCATTAGGGTATCTAGTTTAAAAAATGTGTCCGGTGACCCAGCCAACCAACCAAGATGGCCGCCATGGCTAAAAATAGAACATAGGGGTAAAATGTAGATTTTGGCTTATATCTCTGAAACCAAAGCACTAAGAGCCAATCTGACACGGGGAGTAAAATTGTTTATCAGGTCAAGATCTATCTGCCCTGAAATTTTCAGATGAATCGGACAACCTGTTGTTGGGTTGCTGCCCCTGAATTGGTAATTTTAAGGAAATTTTGCTGTTTTTGGTTATTATCTTGAATATTATTATAGATAGAGATAAACTGTAAACAGCAATAATGTTCAGCAAAGTAAGATCTACAAATAAGTCAACTTGACCAAAATGATCAGTTGACCCCTTAAGGAGTTATTGCCCTGTATAGTCAATTTTTAACCATTTTTCGTAAATTTTTGTAATCTTTTACAAAAATCTTCTCCTCTGAAACTACTAAGACAAATTTAACCAAACTTGTCCACAATCATCATTAGGGTATCTTGTTTAAAAAATGTGTCTGATGACCCTGCCCGCGAACCAAGTTGGCCGACGGCTTAAAAATAGTACATAGGGTAAAATGCAGTTTTTGGCTCATATCTCTGAAACCAAAGCATTTAGAGCAAGTCTGACGAGGATAAAATTGTTCATTAGGTCAAGATCTATCTGCCCTGAAATTTTCAGACCAGTCAGGCAACACGTTGTGTGGTTGCTGCCCCTGAATTGGTAATTTTAAGAAAATTTTGCAGCTTTTGGTTATTATCTTGAATATTATTATAGATAGAGATAAACTGTAAACAGCAATAATGTACAGCAAAGTAAGATCTACAAATAAGTCAAAATGACCAAAATTGTCAATTGACCCCTTAAGGAGTTATTGCCCTTTATAGTCAATTTTTTACAATTTTCATAAATTTTGTAAATTTTTGTAAATTTTTACGAAATATTTTCCACTGTAACTACTGGGCCAAGTTCATTATAGATAGAGATAATTGTAAGCAGCAAGAATGTTCAGTAAAGTAAGATCTATAAACACATCACCATCACCAAAACACAATTTTGTCATGAATCCATCTGTGTCCTTTGTTTAATATGCACATAGACCAAGGTGAGCGACACAGGCTCTTTAGAGCCTCTAGTTATAGTCATATGTATGGTCATTGCTCCATTAAGCTTTGCATTAAGATTTGTTTCTCACTTCTCTCTGAGGTGAAGGCAACAATATTTTAAAATTTTGACACCTGCTTATATAGCACAACATGGGTCTTATAAAAGTCAGCTTAACAATTATTAAATTTGTAATGACCTTGGTAAATTTTTGTCTTCAGTTCATTCTTAAATGAATGTGGTAAAACATTTTAATTTATGTTCATTTTCAAAGAGACCATGGACATATCAATTTTATAGTTCCTTCATATAAAGCAATTTGAAAAAATTGGCCATTTTTACTACTATTTTTATATGTAAAGCAACCTTGGTATGTTTCATGTTTAAGTTGAAATTTCCAGAGTGTATAATATAAGAGATTACTTCCAGGTGATTTCATATACTATTTACAGTATACAATCATTTTCTGCTGACATCTTGCTACTATTTTGAAGGATCAGTAATATTTGAATATAAACTAAGGAGATGAAGTATAGTCTACAAATGATCAAAGGTCAAGGACCTGTTTACACTAATTCCTTTTGTGTCATCTTTACTGCTTACAAATAAGCAACAACAAAATCGAAGACAACCGTTTGGAGTAAAAAATTAAACATTTTTAAGCATCAATAATGAATTGCAAGATAAATATTTTAAACATTCTTTTTCAGAAAATATAAAATTTATTTGTAAAAGATGATAATGCCTGCTTTAATTTCTGTTCCTTAAGCTTTTACTAATAAATTTCATATTTTGGGCAATGGACTACTATTGTATATTAACTGTCTAAATTTAACATTCCATTTTGATCTATGTTACAGATTCTAAAAAGTCTAAAAAGGGTAAAAAGTTAGCAAAGAAAGTAAAGAAGAAGAGAACAGCTAAACATAACTCTGATGATGAGGCTATAGAGGAAAGTGATGAGGGAGATTACGATGACAAAGAAGTTGACTATATATCTGATTCTGGAAGGTGAAAATATACTTTGGAAGCATGTAACATAATTAAAATTTAACATTTGCAGAAGTTATATTGACTTTTGTATGTTAAAAATAAAACTATTTGTATGCAGTCCTGAATTCGAGAATGTCTAATCCAATTTTTTTTTACTAGAATAGTCAAATTGCCATGCAGGGGCACATATTATACACAGAAAACCATCATCTTGTTTTAAAATTAAAAAAACACACCTGGCAGAGCATTATTTAAGGTGCCCGTGGAAAGTGCAACTCCTTATGCAGATCTACCAGAAAAGGAATTTTCAATGCTATATCTTTTTTTCAGTGTATGTTGTTCAATTTATTTTATGGGAGAAATTATGTTTCTGATTTTTGATAGTTAATTTCAAATACCAGTATATAAAATGCAAAAACAATATCTCATTGTTAAATTTGATAAATTTAGTTCTATCACAAGTGTAGAATCATATCCTTTTTGATGTAGTTTTAGATCCTGAATGAACTGAACTACTGACTAGCCTTTCTAAAGAAATAACTGAAATAAAAGCAATCAGGCCTTAGTCTTTAATACAAAAAATAACATCAATCCAACAATTCTTTCATTTGTTTTCTTCCATGGAAATTTGTTTTCAGCTCCTCTGAAGAAGAAGGAGCTAAAAAGGATAAATATGAAGAGAAAGGTGTTGATGAAGAAAAAGGTCTTAGAAAATTGATTGGTTCTGAAGATGAAGAAAGTGATGAAGAAGAAAAGAAAGAAGAAAATAATGAAAAAGAAGAAAAATCAAAGAAAGGTTTGCTTATTTCTTGAAGTTTTAAAGTTTTATTTACGTTTCTGTTGACTATCATATAGCTGATAATAGTTTGAGCTACTACTGATCTTTATATAAATAAAGGGAGATGTATGTTTTCTTCGATGAGACAATATCCCAAAAAACAATGAGCTGCCTAGAGGACAAGTTCTAAAACAAAAGGCACTTAAAAAAACATTTCAGAAAAGTGTTAAGCTTTATAATATTGTTTCTAAAGTCATCAAAACACTGCTACCATTAAAAACAATTTTTTAAGTAACACCTTGCAAGTACTGAAATTATTGTCAAAGTACTTAATCTGTTAGTAAATGTAGAAATCATGCCATACTATGCTGTGATATTGGCAGTTGTAGTTCCAAGCAGATTTCATACAGTAACATGAACAATTTGGAAATATATGGTCTTTTGCAATGCCTAAAAATTAAATAAAAAACAATATTGTCATGTAAAAACTGCAAATATTTGAAATACAATTCTTACACTTGTCTGCTTTATAAACAATATTATTTTGAAAAGCTTGTTGCAAATGGAATAATTCTCCATTTATTATTTCATATATTTGTTATAAAATAAAAATTTTGATGGATTTATGGTGTCTGTATATCTCTATCAGGATGAAAACGACCATTTGGAATTCAATTATCAAGGTCTATATTAAAAGGCAATGTTTAAATTTGGGACTTTTTAAATGTAAGTCCAGATGGATGTATTTCATAAGTATATTTAGAAAAATCTGGATTATTTAGAGAGATTATGTTGTCTAGATATAAAATGGGGTTATAGAACATATCAAGTGATGTTCCTTTGGTCTTTGTGAAGTTTAACCATAACCTAAACTCTATAGCAATTAAGGAACAAATTGGTGAGGGGCATTATCAATGAATATTGTAATTGAAATTTCATTCTTTATTCTATAGAAATTGAATAAGCAATACAAAATAGAAAAGGTTATCAAAATTATTGACTTTTGTTACAGAAGGCTAGACTTAATCTAATGAAGGATGATCGTGTGACCACTAATTCGTTATTTTAAATTTTTATTAAAATGATTCAAAATTTTATTGTTCAAATTTGATGAAAAAACAATAATTTCTTTTATTAATGTAGTCCAAAGAGTTAATGGTGTGGTATTGTGTAAATGTCATCAATACATAGCAACTAGCTAGAATGTCTGAAATTAAATATGGTTTTAATTTTGATCGTTATTAGTAATTCATATCCAGTGAACCATAACAATGATTTTTTAGGTGATGAGAGTGAAAGTAGCAGTTCTAGTTCAGGTGAAGATTCTGATATAGAAAAAGACGAAGGTCTTGCATCAGCAATATTTTTACAGGTATGTATGATTCAAAGTGCTTAAATTAAGAGATAAAAACTAAAAACATTTTGGAGGTAAAAAAGATATTTCTTCATAACTTCTTACTATTACAAAGTGACTGACTCAGTGATAAAGCTGAAATCATTGAACCTATAGAATTTTCTTTGAAATAAGATTCCTTTGATATTAAATAAAGGATTTATTCAAAGTATATGAACATATGGATGTGTTTTTGTAAACAAATTCAACAAGTCATATTTTATTTATTTCATTGCAATTTATTATTTTTTTCCAAATTTCATAAAATTAGTGTTTCATTTCTTTTTAAAACATTTAGTTATATTAACTTTAGCCTATGTGGGAGGTCAAATTTGTTCCCTCCTTTTTATACGACCGCAAAAATTAAAAATTTTTTGGTCGTATATTGGTATGACGTTGGCGTCGTCGTCGTCCGGCGTCGTCGTCGTCGTCGTCGTCTGGCGTCGTCCGAAGACGCATTGGTTTTCGCACTCTAACTTTAGTTTAAGTGTATGGATCTCTCTGACATTGTACCACAAGGTTCCATATCACAAAGGAAAGGCTGTAATTGATTTTGGGGGTAATTGCCTCAAAATTTTAGGAATTAGGGGCCAAAAAAGGGGCAAAAAACAAGCATTTTTCTAGTTTCATGACAATAACTTGTGTGTAAGTGTTTGGATATTTCTGAAATTGTACTACAAGGTTCCATATCACAAAGGGAAAGCTGGAATTGAGTTTGGGGGTAATTGCCCGAAACTTTTAGGAATTGGGGGCCATAAAGGGGCCAAAAATAAGCATTTTTCTAGTTTCCAGACAATAACTTGTGTTCAAGTGTATGGATCTCTCTGAAATTGTACTGCAAGGTACCATACCACAAAGGGAAGGCTGGGATTGAGTTTGGGGATGATGAATCATAAGGGGGTTCAAAAAATTTGTGGGGGGATTTTTTTTTTTCTTTTTTTTTATTTTTTTCCTTTTTTTTTTCTTTTAAAATTTTCCATTTTAAGTTGGTTATTTCTGATTTATATTTAAAAGCAAATAATAATGATATGGTAGGAGATACACACCAAACAGGATGTGTAAATTATTATCTAATAAGTATTGTGCAATAGCAAGAAATTTTCAATTGCACAGTATTGCACAATAGCAAGAAATCTTCAATTGCACAGTATTGCGCAATAGCAAGAAATCTTCAATTGCACAGTATTGCGCAATAGCAAGAAATATCCAATAGCACAATATTGCGCAATAGCAAGAAATTGTCAATTGTACAGTATTGCGCAATAGCAAGAAATATTCAATTGCACAGTATTGTGCACAAGAAGATACTTCGTATAAATTGCTTATTTCTTGATCAATTTCAATGGGGTTTTATTCTTGAATTCTTGGGGTTCTTTAATATGCTGAATCTAACCGTGTATTAAGTTTTTGGATTTTGGGCCCCGTTTTTAAATTGGTCCACATTGAGGTCCAAAGGGTCCAAAATTTAACTTTGTTTGATTTCATCAAAAATTGAATTATTGGGGTTCTTTGATATGCTGAATCTAACCGTGTATTTAGATTCTTAATTTTTGGTTCCGTTTTCAAATTGGTCTACATTAAGGTCCAAAGGGTCCAAAATTAAACTTAGTTTGATTTTAACAAAAATTGAATTTTTAGGGTTCTTTGATATGCTGAATCTAAACATGTATTTAGATTTTTGATTATGGGCCCAGTTTTCAAGTTGGTCCAAATCGGGGTCCAAAATTAAACTTTGTTTGATTTCAACAAAAATTGAATATATGGGTTCTTTGATATGCTGAATCTAACCATGTATTTAGATTTTTGATTTTTGGGCCCCGTTATCAACTTTGTCCACATTGAGGTCAAAAGGGTCCAAAATTTAACTTTGTTTGATTTCATCAAAAATTGAATTATTGGGGTTCTTTGATATGCCTAATCTAACCGTGTATTTAGATTCTTAATTTTTGGTTCCGTTTTCAAATTGGTCTACATTAAGGTCCAAAGGGTCCAAAATTAAACTTAGTTTGATTTTAACAAAAATTGAATTTTTAGGGTTCTTTGATATGCTGAATCTAAACATGTATTTAGATTTTTGATTATGGGCCCAGTTTTCAAGTTGGTCCAAATCGGGGTCCAAAATTAAACTTTTGTTTGATTTCATCAAAAATTGAATTCTTGGGGTTCTTTGATATGCTGAATCTAACCATGTATTTAGATTTTGGATATTGGACCATGATAGGTGAATGTCCAATTTAAAATTTTTAAGTTCTTAGACCACATTCATTCTGTGTCAGAAACCTATGCTGTGTCAAATATTTAATCACAATCCAAATTCAGAGCTGTATCAAGCTTGAATGTTGTGTCCATACTTGCCCCAACTGTTCAGGGTTCGACCTCTGCGGTCGTATCAAGCTGCGCCCTGCGGAGCATTTTATTTTTCACATAAAATCTCCAAATTTTTAAATTTCAAATTTTTTTATTTTTTTTTAAGGTTAAATGGGCATAATACTATGATAACATGCTAAAGTTATCTCTACCCATTAAACATAGTACATGTATTATTATTTTCATCTGTTTTAAAGAAAATGAATTTTATTTTTGTTTTAGTTGAGATTTCTTTTGTTTTGATTTTTTTATCAAAATATCAATTTTCTGTGTTGTGCCAAGAAGTTGGTAGTTTATTAGAAGAAATTTTAAAATATATATTATTTCATTTTTAGCAAGAGGCTAAAAGAAATTCACCAGTGCCGAGATCTGATACACCTAGCTCAATGGAAACTGAAGATAAGAAATGTAAGTAAAATATAACACCAAAAGAGAAGTTGCACCAAGAACCTTATATGGCCCAAAAATTGACATCTAATTTTTGTGTAAAAATAGTTGATACGTATATGCAATGATTAATCTGACGAGCTTTCATATATATGAAATTCATCAAGATTTAAAGATTTAAAGGTAGCATGAATTTCATATTTCTGCCAAAAATGTCCAAATATACATAGTTTTGATTCATATTTTTTAGTTTGAATCACAGAGTCTATAAAAAACCAAATTAATATTTATAAGAGAGGTGTTGTTCATACAGACAACTATAGTGGTGAATTATTTAGTTCTCGCATGCTCTCTACATCAGCAGGTCCAAAAACCCGTCGAAAATTAACCGAAAGCTGTGTATTGGCATGATAAGGCCCAGAAGTGGCTTTTGTATGACATCAACACCACATTTAATATGACTTTATGGATTCTCAAATATTTGTTTTTGTATTTGGATTATCTCAACTTTAAAATAGAGATAGTTATGGAATATGGCCATTATTTCTTTGGAAATTTGAATTTGTTAATTTGTTTAGGAAACTTTGGAAGAAGCATAAAAATCCAAATTGTTTTAGGCAACATATTGCGCTTATGTAGTAATGGCAGGTGGGTTTGTGCTAAAGTCAATTAATCCATGAAATCAACACAATTTACATGCTGAGAATGAAGTGTGTTTTAAAATTATGGAGACAGATTTAATCTATGTTGATAAATTTAGATTTTTTAAAGGGACATAGTATTATAATACCTGGTCGTTGTTATTACAGAATTTTATTTATAAAAGATGAGTTTTGTCGGTATTGTGAGACACAGAGTAAATTAATTACTGACTTGAATGGAAGCAGAGACATTCAGTCCCCAATCTATGTATTTTGCATGTAAAGTATCGTATACAGCTGATTTAACTTCAAACACTGCTCTAAATGTTAAGTTAAAAGTGACTCATGCTTTCTGTATAATGTGGTTTTAAAATAAATACATGTCTACTGTGCATGTTCATGCAAAAAGTCTTATATTATGGTCTAAATACATCATATGATTTTGTTTTCAGCAATGAAGAGAAAACTAGAAGGAGAAGCATCGTCATCAAAGAAAATGAGAACAGACAGTCCTAGTGTAGGAGGTTCAAAGTATGTTATTGTAACAGTAATTATTATTATACATAGGATATGATAATATTTATCTTGAAACAGTGATAAAACACAGGCAGAACCAACTGTGGTATCCCTACAATCAATAGTAACTTTGGTCCACAGCCCACAACTAATCATTTAGTATTAAGCACCTGGAAATTGTCAAATAGCATAATGAAGTTATATTTAAATAGAGATGAGACCTGTAAACCAAAAACAGATGATGTTTCTTAAAAAAAAAACACTTTAACCTTTTAAAAGTCAGACTGGATTAATAATCATTTGTAGACAAAGTTTTCTATCAAAGTCTATGAAATGCAGAATTGTAAAATTTACATGAGAAAAAAATGCCAACAATATTATATTGTTACCATCATAAATTTCAAGTCTTTAAATAATTTTGTATACACGAATGTCTAATTTAAAACTTTTACTACTTTTAAATCTTCTGTATAAATAAGAATTCTTGTATTCAATTTTTTTTCATGGTTCTGGGCAAATAATTTATACTTAAAAAGTACATATTAATGTAGGATTTTAAAGCACATAAACAGTTTTAGAAATTACCACCTGCCACCTGTTTAAAAATTTTAAAAAGAGTATAGTATATTAAATATTTTGCTTAAATCCTACCAAGGCTAATTAAGTGAGTAAATTGTTATAAATGGCATACCCTTAGTACTGGACATTGGTACATTGAAATTTGTCTTTCATTGATATAAACAATGAAATTACAATAATTACATTGTGGATCATTTAATGACAAAGTCCTATAACTTTGAAGAAAAAAATGTACCATTTAGTGTCTTTTTTTCAAAGGAGAAACAATTTATTATTGGGCCTTCCATGTACATGACACTCTTAATTGTAAATGTATTTGTATAGTGCACAGAATATTGGATTACATATAAGGTCATAAAGAGGATAACCTTCCTTTTACATAAAATAATCTCATATAGCAAAGTATTTTCCTCTTTCAAAAGATTGCAGATAAAAAAGGTGCACTTCATGTAGGCCATTCTTTTCTTAGTTATTTGATTGTCTACTACACTTTACTTCATATATACAGATATTTCAGAGTTGAAAATTTATTTACAAATGCCTGTATGTTTAAATGTATTTGATACTTACAATTCTCAACCCAAAACATATGTATTTTTTTGCTTTATATTTCACCTATTCGTGTATTGCTCAAGTATATCACAGAAAAATCAACACAGTGTTTACATGGTTTACTAAACTAGTTCTGACAACATAGAAAGTAATTCTTACAGAGCATTTAAGTATTTGTAGATATGCAAATCATGTCAAAATTATGAGTTTTCACATGGCATGTAATAATGTTTTTTTTTATATATGTATTGTAGAAGTATTAGAATTTTTCAATATAAGTACACAATATGACATCCTCTTATTTTTCAGGGAAGGAATTTCAGAAAGTGCAATACGTCGATACCTAATGAGGAAACCTATGACACCAAAGGAACTTGTTCAAAAATTCAAGTCAAAGAAATTGAATATATCAAAAGAACAAATGACATCTACTATAGCTCAGTTGTTGAAGAAAATCAATCCAGACAAAAAGATTATAAACAAAGCTATGTATCTGTCATTAAAATCTAACTGAATATACAGGATGCATAAATTGTTATTGTATTGTTATGTCTGAATATGGCAGCATTTGGTGCAATTGTCATGGCTACAGAGGTTTAATAAACATCTTGGCTGACATGAAATGATCCTCCTGAGAGAAGAATGGCGATATAACCATCATACCGTAATCATACTAGACAAAACAATGCTGTATGAAATAATGGATTTTAGAAATACATATCATGCACTGTTGTTCAATTGATTGTTAGATTTAAAAACATTTTTTTCCAGATTTTTAAAGCCTGAAATATTTTCAAATATTTTTATGACACTAAGGCAAATATATACAGAAGTGATTTCATCTATTTTATGAAATTTGCTTAAGAGTACAGAAACATAATAGTATACAATAAACACACTACTGTTAATTCATTTATTTTTTTGGTACCAATTTTCCTGGATTGAGAAAACATAGTATTTTCCTGGATATTTAAATTTGTGATTTTGCAAAAATCTGCATGAAAGCCTATAGAAAATATGTACTTCAATGAACTTTTGTGGTTAACCTATATTATGAAATGCAGAAAATTGATATCCCACGAATAATAATGAATCCACAGTATGATGCATTAATTTTGTATGGAAAGGGAACAATGATTTGCTCTGTCATATTTTTGTTGATATTACTGATGGAAAAAGCATTTCATAATATGCTCATTTGTTTACTTTTATAAAACTAAATGCATTTTAGATAATAAAAAAGTGATAAAAAAAATTAGCTGTATTATTTGTATCAAATTTTATTTTTAATTTATGTCTCCTCTTTGTTTTGAACTCTTCAATAAATTGTTTTTAGCTCATCTGGCGGAAGGCCAGTTTAAGGTTTTCCTGTCTCCCTCGGTTCCTGTGGTCTGTAAACTTTTTTTCATTCAAAGATCTTTCCAGAAGAAAAAATTGAACCAAATTGAATATAACTATATATGATTGACGCTTAGGGTGTAGTATATTCCAGTCCATCAACCATCATGGCAACACATATATCACGAGGTTAAATTTTAGGTAACTGGTAACCGTCTAATTTTTTGAAAACCATAATAGATATCGAAAATCTTACTGTGGCAAAAATGTTTAGAATGTCCAGATCTATCTGCTCTCCAGTTCTGTCAAAATTATCAGATGACTTCTTTTATAAGTAATTGCACTTAAATGTAAAGCAAACTTGAAATGAACTGTCTTTCTGCTTATATTTTAGATTGTGAATTACCTGACAATACCATCTATCAACAACTGGCAACCATAACTGAAAGTAGAACATAGTGTTTATCTGAAAATATTTGTCTAATATCTACAAAACTGTAGTAGATAGGGGAAATGTATCATGAGCAAAATGCTTGTAAACTTAGAATCTACTATAAACTCATCTAGACCTTTCTTGTTTAAGTCATATGTATAAATGATAAGATGCAAATGTTGGACTGTCTCTGGAAAAAAGAATTTCATTGGAAGGGTTAAAAATTTTGCTTTCTAATATACCAAGTGATTAATTTTCAGACCTGTTATCAAACTTCTGTTTGAGAAATGCATGTACATGATGATATTTTGATGTAATGCTCATATAGAAAAAGTTTTGTAGCATTTTTCTCAACAATTTCAAACTGCTGTTTGTCTTCCCTGCTTCAAAAAGAGGCAGAAGCAAAACTTAGGTGTGCTGTTTCTCTTGTTTGGTGGTATCAACAATTGCCTGTGTTTGGTGACATCAACAGTTGTTTAATAATGTGATTATCATGATTATGTCAATTTAAAAGATATTTGGTATGTAGTTGTCTCTTTGACATATTCCCCATTTCCATTCTCAATTTTAGTTAAATTAGAATTGGCATATCTCATTTCCATGAGATTACTTGACCCTTCAGTCCAATTATTTGTGCACACTGAAATTATAATCATGTTTATTTTGTTACAGTGTAACAGTCTTGTTTTTGCTTGAGATCCCTATTAAAGTTTTATTAGTTCCCTACTGACAAAGTCGAAGGGGACTTTAGGTTTGCACTCTGTCCGTCTGTCTGTCATCCGTCAGTCCGGCAAATCAGTTTTCCACACTTTTTTTCTTCGTGCTTGAAGATATTGATTTGATATTTGGTATATAGTTTTATTATGACAATTTACTGTTCACGTTAGAATTTTGTTCTGGTCTGATGGTGTTGTCCAGAGTTATGGTCCTTGGAATTAGAAAATTCACTCAAATAATCAGTTTTACAAACTTTTTTTCGTCATGCTTGAAGATATTGATTTGATAAGGAGTATATAGGCTTATCATGACAAGTTACAGATCAAGTTCGAATTTTGTTCCGGTCTGATGATTTTGTGCAGAGTTATGGTCCTTTGACTTAGAAAATTCACTCAAATAATCAGTTTTCCACACTTTTTTTGTCATGCTTGAAGATATTGACTTGATATTTGTTATATAGTTTACACCATGACACGTTATTGATCAAGTTAGCATTTTGTTCTGGTACAGTGAATACAGTAGGGGACTATGTATTGCCATGCAATACTCTCAGAATGCTTGTTATAAATCAATTTCTCCGAAATTTAGTAGTAGATGACAATAATATTTCATAACTTCATATGAATAAAAATTATGGGTATATGTCAATGAGACAGCAACTCAAAGATAACAAGAACCAAAAGATATCTGGCAATAATAGATTAAGTCACGCTCTTAATCATTCACAATATAAAAAAAAAAACTGTGAATAAATTTAACAGAAACCATCAATTCAAAGATCTCCATTAACATCAAATTCTCTAAATAACCAAATAACAAATAAAAAAAAACCAAAACAATGAGCAAGACATAAGACAACCATTGATGAGGCTCCTGACAGTCTGTTATAGTTTGACATTTTGGTTGATACAACCTAAATTGTATGCTTGAGTGACTTTTATTTATTGTTATTTCTCAGTATACAGATATAGTGGAGACCAAAATTATATATTGCTGATATCTAACGATCACATAACGTACAAATTGAATCCAGTATTTGGGTCACCATATGTTATAAAACATTAGCAGATCAAACCACAAAATCTTATCATTGACTAATGAACCATGAAAATGAGGTCAATGTGATATCAACCCTGCCAGACAGACATGTACACCTTACAATAATTCAATACACCAAAGATAATTGACATATAGTTTATAGTAACTGATAATAACATATCCACAAAAACATATCATTGACCAATGAACCATGAAAATGATCAGATGAACCCTACCTGACAGACATGTAACCCTTCCAAGGAAAATATATACCAAATATGGTTATCCTATTTAATACTGATAATAAGAGAGTACTTCACTTTTCAAAAAATCAGTAATTTTTTTTTTCAAGCAGTCACTGAACCATGAAAATGAGGTTAAGGACAGTGAACATATGACAGACAGAAACTTCTTAACATAAGGTATCTGCATTCAAGGTATGAAGCATCTAGGTCTTCTAGCATTAGAAATAAAAAGCTTTAAACAGAGCTCCCCCTGTCGTTTTATAATCCCTATGTCTCACTTTAGTTACAGGAGAGACAAGAATGATAAAAGTGATCTGTAATAAATTTTATGCAAATATTTAATTTACAAATCAACAAGTATAAAAACTTAAATATGTTCAGAATGTTTTTTTTGTATCACATCTACAGGATATAAAAATATAAATGTGTTCAGAATGGTTAATTGTATCACATTCTGCAGGATCCAAAAACTACATTCACTTCAGGCATTTCCAGTTTAGTACATTGATGTATTGGCCATACTTCAATATCAACTACACTCATATCCTTCATATTTGAGGTACTGGTAATTTGGCACAACGCATGATTTATTACAAGCAAATTAACTAAGTAACTTGATCTTCTTTATGATTGTTGATCACCTTCTTTGAGATTGTTCTATTAACCATGAAAAGCTGTCAATAACTCCTTCCAGGTTTTCTACCCAACAGTCTCGCACCTGGAATAGAGAATAAGGGTTAAGTCTGCTGCACTGTACTTTTTTAAAAATGTGAATTGTCAATGATATAATATTTAGTAAGCAATTGTATAAGCATTGGCACATCTCATTTCCATGGAGATTATTTGGCCCTGTCCCCTCTGTCATGATCTACTTTTCATAGTTTACATGCTAAAGTTTGTGATTAGGACAACTGAATTGGAACCACCAATAAAAATCAATTTCTGTGGAAATAATATGGTCCCGTCCCAAAGTCATTTTTCGTTGATTTTAAAACTTTTGCATAGTTGACATATTAACAAATTGTGATATTTAGTATGAATGTGTATTAGCATTTGCATATCTCATTTTCATTTAGTTTATTCATTGACTTAGACAATTTTTGCATAGATTATGTGTTGCCATATTAATTTCAACATTTGCATTATGCTATTGAAATTACATACAGTTGAGACATATCACTGTTAACTTTGGTTTGCTTGAACTTGTGTTTTTGTTGTCTATTAACTAAATGTATTGTTCTACTATTTAACTGAAGTTAATCCGGTGATCAAGATTAAAAAAAAGAAATACCACTGAATTACCTGCCATGGTCTATTTAGGTTTCCTAGATGGAGAGCTTCTACTACATTTATACATGGTAATCTAGGACTGAGTGAGTTTGGAATGCAAGACATGACCAGCAGTGGAATGTGAGTATCTGACCATCTTTCTTTTAACATTGCTGATAGTTCATAGATTTCATCAGCCTCTGCAAAAAACAATAAAATATTTCCTGATGATGTTCCTAAATGCATTAAAAATAAAAGTAAAACTTAATTTATAAGAATACAAGTGATTGAATAAGTAGTTATTTTGCATGCAACTTTTGTTAAAGGTTTGTAAGATTGTTATAATAAATGCTATCTGTTATAATACTTCATAAATTTGACATTTCCTCTGAGTGATTCTTCTGAACTATTTGGTCTCTGATTAAGAGTTGTCTCATTGGCAATCATACCACATATTCTTATTTTAATAACCAGCTTTCAGATGTGCAAAATTGAAGCACATTTTTGGACCATTACATGACTATATATATATAGCTATGAGTCATCTTACTGACAAAGAACAATTAGAGATGTAAATTTTCTAGCAGTTATTGCATGAATGAATGCAACAAATTATACCATAATATATAGGTAAGCTGATACTTACTTAGATTATCTAAGGATGTTCCATCCACAACAAAAACAAAAGCATCAACAGATCTACAGAAGTCACGAACAGCAGGTTTCAATTCAACTGTTGTTTTACCTTCTTCATCCTTGTTAACTTGTATTAGATTATTGCCTTCTACTCTGTTCCATAATTTTTGTGTACGTTGTTGCTTTGATGCTGAGTATAAAACAGATAATTGGAATGTCTGTCCATTGGGCAATTTGTAACACCAACCAGAACCAACTCCTGTAAAATGAAAGTACAATTGATATCAAGTGATGCTAATATAAGAAGTAAATTAAATGAATGAAGATTATACTTTCTAACAATCCTCTTACATAAATGCTTTTATGTTCACTAAACAATTTGGTTGAGTCTAGATGGTATGCTTAACTTATAATAAAATCTTTTATGGTTTCAAATTGTAGTAATAATAGATTCTTTGGACATCAATTTAATAACGATGTATGAATCTTACCTTCAAATTGTCCAGAAACAAGACCAGTTCTTTCCATATGTTCATTTTTGTCGTATAAAATTTTTCTAACAAGACCACTAGTTAAATCAGATTCTAATCCTGGTCCAAACATTGCTATTTTCGGTGTCCATGACTTCTTTGGAAGAAATGATTTCAAAAAGTCAGTAAAACTGAACACTGCATCATTTTTGTGCATTAACTTGTTGATATGTGGAGAACATCTGAGGTATCTACAAATTATAATTATCAAAACTATTTAATATCAATATTATGATGCAGAAAATGAAATTCCACAAAGAATAATTACCAAGTATGTAAAGCTATTCTTTTGATATAGAAATAAGTAAATCTTATTTTTACATGTAAAGGAGCAATATCCCTTTTCAGTAAAGTTTTTCACAGCTTATTTTGTAAGGAGTTTAGATATTTGTCCAATACATATGTAATCCAATTATTAAAAATGAGAAAATCAATTTATACATACATTTCTTTATTAGACCAGTCAGACTGAACTTCTTGGTATAAGGCTGGATTAGTTTTATGACCAATTACATTCCATGCTTTTACATCTCTATCCATTAACTCTTTCCATAGAATACTATCTTCACTTACAAAATACCAGTCTCTACACACAGCACTTATCCTACACAGATCTTCTGGTCCTAAGTATGAAAATATATGCAGCTTACAGTCCAGCTAAATAAAAGGAAACAAAATATTGAATGAAATTGAAATAAACACACACATTTCTATAATATTTAAAAGGCCAATGAATAACATCCTTGTGTCCTACCTCCTGGCAGATAACCTAGTATATATTGCAAGTACATGTAAAATTCATTAGTTTTTCTAAATATTTTACATAGTCTATAGTGTGTACAAGGAAATGTTCTGGACTTTCAATGCTGCTTAAATAAAAATGTATTGACTTTAATGGTGCTAAATAAAAAATGCTGATAAAAAGAGGTAGCCATTAAAATTAAAGGTAGATAGAGAGGCAGGAAACAGAACTCTAATTCATTTTTGGCTTACAGCTGTTATCATAATGCATGTGTAATGCTAGCAAGTTAAAGGTTTGGTTGACTTGCTTGCTTTGTTTGTATAAATGTCTGCTCAAGCATTGTAATTAAGTTAAAGATTGACATCTCAAAACAATATAAAAAGGTGGAGTTAAACTTGTATACATTATATCTAAATTTGATTGGACATTATCAAATAATCAAATTTACCTATATACCGGTTTAACTCTGCCTACTTATATTGTTTGCAGATGTCAATCTTAATTACAATGCTTGAGCAAACATTAATACAAACAAAGCAAGCAAGCCAACCAAACCTTTAACTTGCTAGCATTAGGATAACAGCTTTAATGAATAATCAATAATGCACTACCCTAACATCACTTATCAATCTAAATAAAATGTATATACAATGCATTGTACAAATACAGTTTAAAGATCTCTGTTTAATTGCTATGATTAAAGGCCAAATCAAAATTAGAAAGCAATTAAACTATTATTTCACCAAAGGTAATAACTGCATTATTTGTTAAGAAATACAATTGTACATACACGTACATGTGTGAATATGCAAGTAAAAATGCTTGAATATACAATTTACATATGCAGGATAGCCATGAACACAACAATTTTGAGTTACAATAATTTGAAAGAAGTGCAATAAACAATTAAAAAACCATGAGAGTGTTTTCACAAATCTAGATAACACAAAAGTAATTAAACTGTGAATGCAATGCATGATTTATACTTGTAACAGATTTTATTTAAAATTAAGATATAGAAATTTAAAAGAATTCTACCAAAAAATTACTTACTGGTAAGTTATGGAATAAAGAGTCTTGCTGGTGGAAGTCCTCAGTCGTCTCTGTTTTCTTTAGAGCCTTTTTATTTAAATACTGCTGAAGTCCACCAGTTACAATTGATATATCATTAGCATCACCCATTTGTTTTTTGTACTTTCTCACTAAGTTTTTAAAAGCATAAATAACTGTCTGATCAACTATGGGAGTTTCCTGTGATATTTTTTCTTCCTGACTACTATCACATGTGCAAGAATTTCGTGTTTGTAAACAAATTTCCCCGTTTGAAGAACAACTACTATAACAATTACACTGACTCTGTCCCAAATAAATTGTTGAAGAAATGTCAAAAGGAATAACTTCCATCATTTTGTTGATCTAGAATGCCGATTTGTGTCTTATCTTTTATCGTTAAAATTGATAGAATAAACATGACTCTAGTGTTGGTGTTTTAATATATATAGTATTCAAAGGGCACTTGTCAGAACCTCCAACGTGGCCTGTGACAGCTATTTGTTTACATCCGCATGGTGACGTACCGGAAAATCGAACTGTTTCCGGGTTAAATTTTGAGGTCAAACCTTTATAATTTCTTTTCTATTTCCGGTTACTGGATCAACATGGTGAAGAAAATTATTTAACTCTATAATCGGTTTCATCTGTCAACCATACAATGTGTTAAAGCTTGCACTTTCTTTATTAAATTAAGCTATTTTACACCACATGCGAAGAACAAGATATTTTGTCCAAAATCATTCAGTTCTCGCTAAAAATGGATGGCATTGTGTACCACCCTAGATAAGTTAACTCAGTAAAATTTCGTTTAGTCTTTAGATGCATTTTTTTTATTGTACTCACACAAATGACATAATAAAGCGGTCTATTGTTTGGCCCTTTCAGAAAATAATTTCCAGAAACAAGTTTTTAATAAAGCGTCACTCTTACGACAATGTATCTTGTTTGATTACAATACTCCAGTACAGACAATAGTGAATACGCATGATACGTACATGCAATAGTGTAAACATGGTACATTAGGGTTCCAGGTATACTTTAAGGTTAGGGTAAAGGTTGAAATAGTAATTCTCCATGTAGCCTGTACCACTAAAGTAAAAGAAGGCTGTACAACATTAGAGAATAATCCAATTTATTATAAACCGTTGATAATTACAATGCAGTCCGGTAAATCCGCCCACACAAGGCTTTAGTCGTACGTGTATGTATTTCTGCTTAATTATATACAAATTGTATCAAATTTATTATAAATTTAAAAAAACTAACGGCCTAATTTATAACAAAACAAATTACGAAAAAAACAACAAATATGACGGACATGAACAAAGGACAACCACTAAACTACAGGCTCCTGACTTGGGACAGGCACATAAAGAATGTGGCGGGGTTAAACATGATTGTGAGAGCTCAATCCTCCCCTAACCTGGGACAGCACACAGAGTTCACGAAAATGGTCGGTCCTGTCGGTCAAAATGAGGCTCGGACCAGTATTTTAAAGGCTAGTGCTGGTCCCAATGACCGATGTAAAAACGGCCGTTGTAGTGCATATTTCGGCACTTTTTTACATCAGTTATTAGATGTACCGCAACTGTTTCCAATAAGTGTTTACATCGGTTATCAGATGTATCTGCTGCCAATTACCGGTACTGGTTTACGGATTTATTATAAACAAACCAAAGCGGCGATCTACACGTGGCCTACTTAATTTGTCCATAGAGCCATCCCTGGCAAACAATTGGCGATTGAACCCTACAATGGAGCAAACAAATACTGTAACAGCCGAGAAAGTGATTCAGATGATGAAATGGATAGTGAAGATGACTTTAAATAAGAACAATCAGAAGACCTGAACTGGTCTTTCATTGTTAATTTGCCTGTGGGTGCGAAGAATAAAACTAATATTAATAAAGTTATTTTTCGATAAAATATGTTATTAATTTTTTTTCAGGATAAAATTGAGAGATTTTGTAGGACTGGCTAAAATTTTGTAGGACTGACAAATAATCATGCTTTGTCGGTCCCATGACCGACGGGTCAAAATAAGTTTTCGCGAACTCTGAGCACATGCTGTTGTTAGCTATGTTCATGATTTTAGCCTATATAATATTGATGAAATCTCCAAATCAGTGCTCCAAATCCTCTCACAATGTTTGGTTTACTAGTAAAGAGAAAAGATGAAAATTAAAACAGTTTCACTCAAAATTATGATTGTACTGTTTAGATTAATATTGGTACTGTTAATGATGTTTCTAAATGCTGTTTAATCAATTCATTTACTTCATAAACATCATCTAATCATTTAATTATTATAATTTACAGACGAAGGGAACATCCAGTTTTGGTAAAAGGATCAATAAGACCCACACACATGATAGAAGAACCGGAAGGCGTAATTACCATATACAAAAGAAAACAACTCCTAGTCATTGTAAGTTTTCAGACATTCATGGTCCCATCATTTATTTATTATTGGGGACAAAATATCTGAAGGTTCAGTGATAGCTGAACAACTAATAGCAAACTCATTGGTAGTAATTTATAATATGCAGAACAATAAGACTGTATAAAGATAAACTGCAAACTCAGATTTGTTTTGATTAGGAAATACCAGTTGATTGTGATGTGTTATACATAGTCTACAAATCCTCCAATAAAAACTGACCGCCACGAATGAAAGTGGCGTTGAACACCAATCAATCAAACAATCAATCTAATCAAATCCTATTACAATGTTAAAGGTAGATCTGCTTTTCAATTCCTCCCTAACAGCCTAGCATTGCACAGTGCCTTATTATTCTTGTACACTGTAATAATTCATGTATTGTGATTTGTTATTCTTGTTCAATGCACCGCCTCAGTGTTCTCATGGTAGCATATTCACCTCGAGTGTGGGAGTGCGTTGGTTCAAACCCAGACTGGGTCAAACTAAAGACTTTCAAATTGATATTTGCTGCTTCTCTGTTAAGCATGAGGCATTAAGGAGTAGGAGCAAAGACTGGTCGACTCTGGAGTCCGAAAATAATGTGTCCGGGTAAGGTGACGTGTCTTCCTGCCCACTGTTACCTTGTGAACTAGCAAGTTAAAAATCCAGCTCAGTGTGTCGGTCTAGTACATAGCAGGATAAATATTCATATTGCATTAACATGTTCTCATCCTGAATATGCATATTCATTTGCTGATGGTCGTTAAGCAGCCATCCATCTTGTTCAATGCCTTTAATTGTGCTGAACATGCATGGAATATTTGCCACTGGATGTAAAGCAAACAACAACAATTCAATCAATAGCAACGAGAAGGTATAACCTCCCAAAATTAAAGGTGTATATTTTTTAACATCTAGATATTAGTCAACGATCTTTCTTATTGATAGGGAGTTTGATTGTTATAAAAAAAGATACTATACACAATATGCATCATGTGCATTCTTTCTGAAAATCCCTTTTTTATGCCCACACAACTAAAAGTTGGGGGGTATATTGTTTTACCCCTGTCCGTCCCATTATCAGTGATTTTGCTAGCGCTCGTCATTTTCGCAATTTACGAAACTGTTTTCAAAATGACGAAAGTATTTCAAATCTATTTCGTCACTTAAATTTGGAAGTGTAAAAATATTTTCGCATTAAAATATTATAATTCTACCTGTCTACATGTTTCTGACAAGTTTATGACTGACAGCTAATTAATATTTACAACCGGTGTTATAAAGTTGTTATTACAGCTAATCAGCTTATCGCCATCGGATGGGTCACTAATCCGGTTAATTATTTTCCCCAGTAAAATTAGTCAATCTGCATTTTTATTTCAAAATTTCTCAAGGCCAACGACCACATTTTGCAGTTTGTTTGTCGTAGTTTCGTCATTTGAACAAAATTGTTTCCCCTGGACAGTTCGCTTTTTAATTTCAATATTTCTAAAACGATCATAATTTGCAGTTTGTTTGTCGTAGTTTCGTCAAATGATCGTATTTTCGTCATCTTTATTATAAAACGTTTAAAATTTCGATTAAAAAGATAGAACTTTATTCAAAACTTTCAGAAATGTTTTCACGTTAAAAACTTGCATCATCATCGAGGAGTCAAACAGGTGCTTCCTTTACAATATACTGCGCATGCGTGAAAGTATTCCTATGAATTTATAGACACTAAAACGTAGAATACGAAATAAATTCAGTGCCAAAATAAATGAGAAAGACAAATATAGTTCTTACTAAGCAAATTGAAATAAAAAAATGATAATTTCCTGCCTTATTTAAACACGAACCAATCCGTAGATGAATCCGGATTCATTCTGAATTTATTATCTACTTGGCACTTCCCGTTTACATTTCATTTGAAAATTGAAAGTAAACATGATCAATTCTCGATTAATTTACAATTTACAGTTATTGGATTCGTTCCATGTGAATTTGTACAAATCCTTGGTTCCAACTTTATAGAAATTAATTCAAAATATCGATTTAAACGTTTTATAAGGATAATGATTATGCAGTGTAATAGTTTTACAAAGTTCAACAAGTTCATTTATACTGTGATTCCTGGTTTTAAAAAAAGGAACCCAAATTTTGTTGATCAGGAATGTCCCCTGAAACTAATTGACGTAAGATTTTGAACTAGATTTTCAGATCTTATATCCTAATCTTCATATTTAAGTGACAAATCAGTCAAGTCATGCAATTACTGCCTAGTAAATTTATGCCTTAGTCCTTCAAAGTCTGAAAAAGATGTATAGCTAGTAATATACATACATACTTGGTCTATTGCTGTTACCCAAAATAATGTTGATTTTCATCTCACGCAAAAGTGACTAAAGCCCTCAAAATCCTAGCTTAAACCCTGCCCATTATGGGTATATAGTTATTCCAGATAACTCCTACAGTTTGAATGCTAGGAAGTTTTCACTTTGCTGGCTGTTTGTACATATATTGAAGGTGTGCATGTGGTCAGAGTTTTGATTTTTATTAGTATTTGCTCTCTTGGGAGATAGTTGAACTTTGTCATTTTTTGGAAATTTTTACTTGCATAAAAGGTGCATAGCATTTCCTGATAACTCCTCCTACAGTTTGAATGCTAGGAAGTTTTCAGTTTGCTGGCTGTTGGTACATATATTGAAGGTGTGCATGTGGTCAGGGTTTTGATTTTTTTACCGGGTAATATTTGCTCTTTTGGGAGATAGTTTAACTACGTCATGTTTGAAGTATATACTTGCATAAGAGGTGCATAGCGTTTCCGTATATCACCTCTTACAGTGAACCGTAGACCTATGTGCTCCCATGCTCAACTTTGGGTATTTTAAAATAACACTTTGCATCTGCGGGGGTATCATTTTTGTCTCCCAGACACAATAATATCTCTAAGAAAGTCCTACATTGACTTTGTTATAATACAGTTACTTCAGAGTGGAGTGCGGGGCATCATTTTGTCTAGTCTTAAGATAGTGAATGCATCACTGAAATAATCAGAGAAAAAATGAATTTCAGATAATTGGAGTGTAAAGGCAAAGAGGAGGCACACAACAGGAACAGGTCGTATGAGGCATATGAAAAAAGTTTTCAGAAGATTCAGGTATGTGACCTCCAAATTATAGCCAGTGAAGTAAACTTGATTATCATGGTCAAATTTATTAGCATATGTCATTTGCCTAAATGTATGTAGATAAATAAGTAATATTGATATGGCCAGATTTCATAGTGAATTTGTTTGTAAATTTTAATGAACAAAGTAGGATTGGTTCCAGAAAAAATTGTATTTGTAAATAAAAGCAGTTGAGCCAGTAAAGGTAACCACCTGGATATCATGGGCAATGAATTTAGTCTAGGACATACTCAGTAATAGAATCTATGAACTGACTGTATAAAAAGTAGAAGTTACCAAGGAGACTAATCAAATACATCCAAAACATGAAAAGTCCACAAATACTACAGAAAACTAAATATTGAGCAAGAAGAACCCCACAAATAAAAGGGAGAAGTTCAGGTGCTCTGGAAGGATCAGCATTTCCTACTCCGCTAAAGATTTGATTAACCTTTCAAGGGTTTAACATTATTAGACCTAATTTGTGCTTATTATAACCCTACATTATTGCAGTAACACACTGTTTTAAAAGTGATCTTTCATTTGCCAATTTTGAAATCTCGCATCATTAGTTTAACTTGAATGATTTTGGAGACCTATTCACAGTTCTATTTTTTCGTCATGTTTATTTTTAATTGAGCTATTAAAAAAATTGGGAAAAGGATGATTATGATGTTTTTGTTTTTTTTTACAGAAATGGATTCCGTGAAGGAACAACACCCAAGCCAAAAAGAAGGTCGGCTGCAGCACCTTCAGCTGTTGCCACAAAATAGACAATAAAGTTCCTGTAATTAACATGGTTTAATATTATTATTTGCCTTCACGATAGAAAAGCTTTAAAATGTCATAGAAGGGGGTACATACTGTTTTAAACCCTGTCTGTCTGTGTCGCTTTTCTCAGGAACTACAAAAAATAGCTTACTGAAATTTGTTATCAGGCTTAATATCGGCATGCTATGCCTTGTGATGCTGTTTCAGATTCATTACTCAGCAACTCTCTGGGGTTTTCTATGCCCCTGCAGTGCATTAAGTGTAACCCTTGACCAAGGATCTGGAAATTTTTTCACACAATGTCGGTCATTTTGAGATGACTGTCACTTGAAAGTTATGGTCTTTTTTTCAAACTGACGAAATTATTTACACTAGATTTATGGAATCAACAAACTTGTATTGCATTTACTTCATGAAGTTTTTACCGTTTTTCTAAAAACGTTCAAGAACTAATGTATGGAATGCAGCAGTTTAAAACTGAAATGATTTTAATGACTAATTATGGCAAATTTTTCAGGAATTGCCAACGCTTCTTTTGATTTTGAAGACGAAATAAAAATAGGAAGTTTATAAGTTAATACTAAATATTGAAGGTATAATACTGGATTTATTTACGGGATTTGTTCTGTTTATCAAACGACAGGAAATGATATTACCGGTAAAAGTGTTTGAATACAACTGACAATAGTTTCAATCATTTAATTTAGCACAAAATCATTTTGGATTTTACGATTAAGTGTCTAATCTGGGACAATTTCAGGCATGCATATTACATAGTAAATAAAGCACATGTTTGAATCGTAAAATAACAACATTTTCCAAAGACATTTAATAAAAAATTCCCCTTTAAATCAGATTGGCGTTTTAGATAATTAACTTGTAATTGAATAGAATTTCTTGTAAAATATTAGTTCTTAGCTTGATCACTAATGTCAGGTGTGAAGAACTCGGGTAAAAAGTGGTTAGCTATCATTAGCCAAAATACCCAGGAGGCATTAGGAGCACCCTCAGGATTATCATACTATACTGGAATGGCAGTTTTATTTCCGGAAAAGCATTTCAAATCAAAATTGAGTGAAAAATGGCAATTAAGAAATCTGATCTCAATGAAATTATCGAAATATCTGTAAAAAAATTAAATTTGACCTAAATCCCAATCTGCTGTAAAGAACAAATAGCTATTAGTTTACTTAAATTTTCCTCATCCAAATTTTATGAAACTCGTATGCAATGCTAAGAACCAAAACTCACTGAGTTCGAATTTGGGCAGTGAGTCACTTACCTAGCTACAAAACCAGGTTTAATCCACCATTTTCTACATACGGAAATGTCTGTACCAAGGCAGGAATATGACAGTTGTTTTCCATTCGTTTGATGTGTTTGAGTATTGATTCTGCCATTTGGAAAGGAACTTTTCGTTTTGAATTTTCCTTTGAGTTCAGTATTTTTGTTATTTTACTTTTTACCAATCTAGAGTTATGTCCCATTATAACTTGAAAATTTGCAAATTTTATGAAAGTCATACATGAAAATAAGAACTAAAACTTGCAGAGTTCGAATTTGGCCAGTAAGTCACTTGCCGTTCTAGAGTTTCAACCTACTCCTTTCCCCTCCTTCATCCCTATCAAATGGTATACCATAAACCTTCCATCCGTCCAACAACACATTGTACCATAACTCAAATATGCTTTAACAAACTCCCATATAGATTGGGTTGATGAAAGAAAGTTCCTTTTTGAATTGGTTAATTTTGGCTTTGTTATTCCAGAGTTGCGTGACTTTTAACAGTTTGATTTGATGAAATTTTTCACATATCCAGCACTAACTCTAGTATTCCTGGATTGATTAATCAAAACCCTTACATTATTGTTGGAATTGGTGAATATAACACATCGTTAGATTTAAAAAAATGAAAAGAAAGAGGGATGTCATTCCAGAGTTATTGGACTTTCAAATGTATTTATAAACTTTGATACAATTTACGTATGTATAGTAAAATTAGGAATTGTATCCGAGTTGATAAATTCACTTAAAACAAGACAAGACAAGGAAAGCAGTGTTAAGTATGTGGTATAAAAATAGAAAATTGAATATTCAGTGCTAACAAAAACAAATATACAAATCCTGCACCCAAGTGCCGGTGCTCTAATGCCTAAATTCTTGGGTTTTTTTTATGAAATGTATATCTGAGGTTTATATCATCTGTGTCTTGGACAAGTATGAAAAACCTGCGCTGATTACTTGCTTGTAGGAATTTTGGAAGTGTTTATTTTCTGGAGAATTTCATTTTTAGCACTCTTGCATCTACGTTTCTTGTCTATTAATTTAAAAAATGAATATCATAGGTTAATTTTTGCAAAGTATAGAAAGAGTTCAATATCAGTGCTGATCATCAATTATAACAGGAGTTGTGTCAATTGATAATATAAAATATATGAAAAATTGCATTGTTAGTGATCATGCGCCTACATTTCTTTTGGGATATTTATGAATATGTTTAAATGACGATTTCAACCATGTCGACTTATTTGTAGATCTTGTCTTGCTATTAAAGTTTCTCTTTCTATTAAAGTCTTCAAGATAATAGGTAAAAATGAAAGTCACTGATTTGACTACTCAACCCTCTCTTTTCAGAAGCGAGTCTAAGTGATCCGACATTCCTATTTTGAGAAATATTTTTAATTTTATTTTAAGTTTTTTGTGTACTGTTATTGGAGCATTAAAGTTTGGGCGATTGTGTAGATTAAACTCCTGTTCATAAATTGAGCGAGTTGGCAGATATCTATTCATCGGGATTATACTTCTTTTCATAGGTGGGGCGTATTGGCATGCCTTGATTAATCGGTATTGAACCACTTTTCATAAGAAGGGCGAGTTGCAGGATGCAAATACAGTTTTTGTGTTCATATTATGTTATGTCGATGTCTGCGTCGGCGTCTAAAGACTTTTTGGTCGCAGACAATAACTTGAGTATAAGTGTATGGATCTATGAAATTTTAGCACAAGGTTCCATACTTCAAATGGAAAGTTGAGATTAATTTTGGGGGTCATGGCCCAAACCGTTTAAGTAGGGGCCAAAAACTAGAATTTTCTGGTTTCTGGACAATAACTTGAGTATTAGTCTCTGGATTGCTATTTTATTGTGCCACAAGGTGTTATACCATAAAGTAAAGTTTGGGATTGATTTTTAGGGGTTATGACCCTAACGTTTTAGTTAAAAGCGGCCAAAATCAATACTTTTGTAATACTTTGTATAAATTGCTCTTTATTTTTAGCAATTTCAATGGGGTTTATTAATTCAAAGTCTTGAATGTTCTTTGATATGCTGAATTTAATTGGGTATTTAGAATTTGGATTTTAGACCCTGTTTTTGAGTTGATCCATATTAAGTAAGGTCCAAAGGGTCTAAAATTAAACTTTGTTTGATTTCTTCAAAAATTAAGATATTGATGTTCTTTCATATGCTGAATCTAATTGTGTATATAGATTCTTTAATTTTGGGGCCTGTCTTCAAATAAGTCCGCATTAAGGTCCAAAGGGTTCCATAATAAACTTCGTTTGATTTAAAAAAAAAAATGAACTCCCGGGGGTTCTTTGATATGCTGAATCTAAGCGTGTATTTTGATTTTGGGCCCAGTTTTTAAAGTTGTTCCAAATTGGGGTCCAAAATTAAACTTTGTTTGATTTCTTCAAAAATTGAATTATTGGTGTTCTTTGATGTGCCGAATCTAAGTGTTTTAGATTTTTGATTTTGGACCCGTTTTTCTAACTAGTCCAAAGAATCCAAAATTAAATTTTGTTTGATTAAACAAAAATTGAATTCATGTGATTCTTTGTTATGCTGAATATAACCGTGTATTTAGATTTTGGATATTGGACCATGATAGGTAAAAGTCAAATTTCAAAATTTTCAGTTCTTTGAACACATTCATTCTGTGTCAGAAACCTACGCTGTGTCAAATATTTAATCACAGTCCAAATCCAGAGCTGTATCAAGCTTGAATGTAGTGTCCATACTTGCCTCAAATGTTCTGGGTTCGACCTCTACGTTCGTATCAAGCTGCGTCCATCGGAGCATTTTATTAATAGTGGTGCGAGTTGGTAAACTAGTACTTCTGATTAATTAGAGTCCAGCATATTGTTTTTCATGTTCCTGTTACATATAGACAATTTCAGATAATATTTAAACAGTTAATTACCGAGATTGGTTTAGATTCGTCTTCGTAGTCTACACACAGTTTTAGGCGAGGGGTGCTAGTTGGGCTTTTGCAGCTGAGTTACCTACTGAATTGATTCAGTTATATGGAGATTGGAAAAGCGATGCTTACAAGAGATATTTAAAATTTTCATTAGACGATAAGATTTCAGTAGCTAAAAAGATGACGGCACATATATTGATGTTTTGTTATAATAATTACAGGGATTGCTCATACCCTTTGTACCTTAAAGTAAAAGCAACTTTATATGCGTATGGTTCGGAACAGATATATAGTGGACATGACGGGTGTGTGCAAGACTAAAATGGGATAATATGAATAGACTACTAGCTAGTAATTCCTTTGATGTTTTCGTGTGCGGGGTGTGATTTTGTGTTAGAATTTGATACACCTAATTCTTTCTTTTCCGTTATAAAAACATGGCGTTTCGAACAAGATATCATCAAATTCTCCGACTCTATGCTTATTAATCAACTATCATATAGCTTAAACCTGTGTATCAGATTGAGACAACCACAACATAGTTGTAATATTTGCCACTGGAGGTTTAATTATCGGAACATTGTCAAAGCGCTATCGGTGTACTTTTCACAGTCAAATCAGCTGTCCGAGATATTTGATTATCTTATAACTTCACAAAATGGGTACATAGTGTACAAAATTCCAGAGAAGAAGACAAGAAAACAACAGAAGACATTTTCAAGACTCGGAGTTTACCTTTCGGCAAAGTTCCAAAGACTGAAGGGGAATCGTGTTGTAGAAATCAGACTACAACAATCACCTATGCCATCTACCTCCAAAGTGAGT